CCAACGACTTTAGCTCATGCCAAATTCTATTTTTAATAGGAACTAAGCATAAAAACCAAACATTTTCCTAACCACATATTTATTTCTATGAACAATACAGCGACTAGAGGCACCATACAGCTCTTGTACCTCGTAGCTTCAATATTTACAATGATAAAAAAACATCTCCTATTTACTTTAACGTAAAGTAAAGAAGAAAAAACAACTTGGAACGCTTTGAAAATTCAAAGAACAATCTTGCGCCCCTGTAGAAACGATAAGTTATGTAAAAATATAGACAGGTTGTGATTCTAGTAGGTACCAACTAGGAGATAAAAATAAAATAGTTATATATTATCAATAAATTCAATCATACAAATATACACCTTTTGTTGAGAAAAAAAAAACTGTCCATCATCATAAAATTCAAGTTGAAACAAGCAAAAATTGACTGATAAAATTCAAGATCTAATGCATAAGAGATAATAATTACATTTCAAACCTCTCGCAAAGTTTTGACAAGTCAATGTAAATGAGACTTATTTGCCTTCACTATTGATTCATTTAAAATTTTTATTGAACCTGAAAATAGAGTGATGGTCGTTCATTCTCAACATCTCACCAAATTGATCGAATTTGATTATCAATTAATATTTTTGTTGATTGTGATATCGGACCACCCTGTTTGTTATAATATCCAATATTATCATGGGCGCGGAAATATCGCATGATCAAAATGGGTTCTATCCAAAAATCCTCCGAAGGTTTAATTAGGATTAATTTTTTTCTTTGATTACAATTCTGGAAACTATTTAGAGAACAAAAGAGTGCGATTCCTCTTTGCCTTTTTCTCATCCGTTGGATGTTCAATTACAGTAGTGGGGAAGTGAAATTCGTGAAAAAAGCGATATTTAAAAACTGAGGCAGATATGCTTCATTGGACTGACTCAAGGATCAGTACGGGAGGCACTATTATGAATTATCAGTTGAATTGAAAATGGCAAATTACACAGCAACAGTGCTTTCTTGTTGATGTTTTTGCCATTTTTTTTATCGAGAAAATCGAATTATTGTAGTAGAAAAGCGTTAAAATTGGAGAAAATGACAATGAAAATATAAATGGTATATAATTATTATTGGAGCTACAAATTACAAGTATTTGTTCACGAGTTATGCCAAAAATTTCAATGTCTTTGTGAATGACACCCAGTATACAATATTTTCAATTGATAGGATCGAGGACAAAAAAATCGTTTCTGTTCAGAATCGAGTTTTCTCTCGATTGAGAATATTGTACACTGGGTGTCAATCTCAAAGCAATTTACCGTTTTGACATAATTCATGAAAGCGATGTTCGATTTTCCTTTCGATTTCATTATAGTAATCAGCGGAAAAAATACAACAAGTTTGTCCATTAAACTGGCATTTTAGCTCCAAGAAACCATTGTCTACTAAATATGGAGAAACAATCTAGTCGGCTGGAGTATCTGGTCTGCTCAAACAAGGAAAATCACCTACAGGGTTCTGTGGCCGATACAGTAGTACCGCCATACGGTCAACTCGAGAAAACACTTATTTCAATTGTTTTCCTGTCAAGCCGACAAAACCTTGAAAATCGTAAATGAGTTGAGTCTCACTCAGCGGTGGCGGTAGTAGTAGTAGTAGTAGTATCGATTATTAGCTTTTGATCAGGGTTCTGATTTTCTTACTTGTAATGATCCTGTAACACTCAATATAGAATGTATGCACCTATGTTGCAAAGGAATATCACTTGGAAATCCATGAATGGAGACGGTTTCACACTTTCTGGTAGGCACAATAAGACGAGACAGAGTTTGTTACAAATCATTAACAGAATAAACTATTATAACACTGGGAGCACAACACAAAACTATATTTATAAACGGAAGGAATATTAGAAGTATGAGAATTGAAAAAGAATGATATTTTAGGAAAAAAATACAAAACAAGTCATGATGGCACGACAGCTCTTGACACTGTCAACTTACATACCCACAAATTTCGAAAATTTCCAAGAAAAAAGTTAACATCATTTCGTCCGATACGGTAACATCCTCTAGTGGTCATACACTCAACTGAGCTATAGGGAAGACCAGTAGTTCCAGCTCGCTAGATTTTTTTCTCCATATTTAGCAGACGATGCAAGAAACAATAACAACCAAGTTTGAAAACCCTCAATATCAAGACGAAACATTTTAGGCCTGGAAATCAAATGGTGAAAATAGTTATTTTTTAGCACACCAATGTCAAGACAGAAAAATAGCAAACATGTTTCGCTAACACAGTAGCTTCGTCAAGTGATATACTGGTACAATGAACTAAACCAACCTTGGCTTGCTCAACTTTTATAGATCCTACTTTCCCAACTTGAAAGATTTGTTACCTGTGGACAGTTTCGATAAACCCCTATTTTCGAAAATCAGGCACAATATCTACATTAAAATACGGTGTACTGGATTGACTTGAAAGGGTTGAACATATTATTATCTACTAAGAAAAACATTACTCAAAAGTGGCATATAGAACAAACAACACGTTGGGAAGGTTTATCAAAAATAATAAAGACAAAACTTCTAAATTCGAAAAATCAGGGGTATAAAAACTCAACTGTGGATCTTGTCGTACGTTCAATCAGCGCATTCATGAACATAAGATGAATTTGTTGAAAAAGAAAACAAATTCAACATACGCCAGCCATATATTAGAATAAAACCATAGTTTTTATGATAATTTCGGAATTCTACACGTAGAAAATAATGGAATGAAACTCAATCATTTTGAATCATTAGAAATCAACAATCTCAAAGATTTTGACATTCTACTTAACGATCAATTAGACCTCAATAGTTCACCACTGTTGAATTTGTTTTCATAGTAGGTTTTATTCATTTTCTATCAACCCTTTCAAGTTAATACGGTACACCGTATTTTAATGTAGATATTGTGCCCAATTTCCGAAAATGGAGGTTTATCGAACCTGTCCACAGGTAACTGATCCTTCAAGTTGGGCAAGTAAGATATATAGAAGTTAATAAAGCCAGCGTTGGTTTAGTTCATTGTACCAGTATATCACCTGACGAAGCTACTGTGTGTTAGCGAAACATGTTGTGTGTTTAAGAATTTTGTAGAAATCTTCTCGTTTGTGAAGTTTTTCATTTGCCATGGATTTCCATCAAGTAACGGCCGAGTCAATTCAAAATCTGATGATTTGGTCCTGATTGTGGATTTTGACAGCTTTCATTTCAAAACGGTATGTTTTCTTGAATGAGATAAATGACGTAAACGGTTCCAAGTCAATCGTGAACACGGTTCAGCAAGATAAAACAACTCCTTGCTAGCCCCTAGTCCAAGAACAAATGAACTAATTCGAAAATGAGCCTGAACAGCAAAAATATCAACAAGGACTCCTCAGCCTCAGTACAAAAAAAGTAAAACCGCCTCTCGAGTCTCCGCATATTGTAACCCCAATAAACTCAATATAAACACCTGGAAAGGAGACGGCCGTTCTCTCGAATAGCACAGTGTGTCAGGGGCCGCTGTAACAAAGATAGCATGATTTACGGTAACCTGTCTCTTTCCTACTCGTGTTGTTTAATGGTGGATTGGTGTTTACGTTTTTTTTTTATCTAATAATTAATGTACTTTAGATTTTTTTTCTCTCATCGAAACAGGTAAGAAAGTGATGATATAAGTTCATTGTCTTTGTTTATGTGAAATATCTATTCATTTGGCGTGTTTTGTTTAATAAATAGGACTGAATTTGTTGGTGTGAACACTGTGAACTGATTGTTGAGAAGGTTTTGATAAACAATGGTGATTTATTGTGTAGCCTTTGGATGCAAGAACGAGCAAGACAAAAGGAAATTGTCATTCCATGGGTAGGTAAGTTGAATATTGTTCAGATTTTTGGAAAATATAGTTCTTGAAATGATGTACAATGTTCCCAGTTTCAGAATATGTTCAAAAACTCTACCTATATTATTTGTCAAAGTTAAATAATTCCATGACTTTTCCATAAACATATTGAGTTATATTATTTGTTGCAGTTTTCCATTCAGACATTCTTGAATTATGGATTAATGCAGTTCGTAGAGAGAGTTGGACTCCATCTAAAACCAGCAAGCTTTGTGGAGAGCATTTCCTGCCAACTGATTATTTATTTAGACATACCAGGTACTGCTAGGTTATTGAAACCAGATGCTGTACCCAGTACGTTTCCATTTCCTAAGCATTTCAAACCAAAAAATACTGATCCTTGAAGGAAAATAAGAAAACTCATAGGTACCTAGTTGATTAATAATGAAAAAAAAAAAGTATGTTTGCACCTCTTTAAGATGAAATACTAGCTAGTAATTCATTTTCAGGATGCATCTGTGGAAGTTCCTAACTTGGGTCCTGAGGAAGATGTTTCATATTATGGACTCTACCTATGACTTCTAGCTCCCAAGTTTTGAAGTTCATCAATAAAGAAACCCAAACTGTTCCATTGAAAAGAATATTATATTGAGAATTGTATTTTTTTAATTTCTAAGAGGGATATGTTTGTAGGCAGTGACCTAATGGTCAAACAGGAACCTGGAAATTATGCTCAAAATCGACCCTAGATAGTCAATACCATTCAAGAACCTCTTTACAAATTTTTCCTATCATTTTTCTCTCACCCTGTACAATATATTGTGACATTTGAATGAAAATATATAATTTCAATTTTGTATTCATTTGACCTCCTAATCATTTAAGAATAAAAATCAAATTCCATTTTTAAGTCAATGAAAAAATCAATAAATTTTTTTTTATGATAATTGATTGCAACATTTTCCTTTTTCCTATATGAATATTTTTATATCATCACGTTTACTCTTAAATAAAAGCAAAAAACGAAAAAATACTTCAAATAATGCGAGCGCTTCCCATTAGCGAAGATAAGATTCTGATATTTGCTTTGTATACAAACTATTTCATGGAAACATTGATGATTGACTTTTTCTGTTATTTTGTGCAACTCTTTTATTGGGCAGCTTTGCTTGCCTGTTGAGTTTGCCTTTTCTTGTAAAATAAAAAAATAAATAAAAAATAAGATAGAGAGAGATAGGTATCCGTAAACACTGCGGGTTGCCTGAACAATATTTTTGCCTCACTCGTCGTTCACATCCAGTTCACAGAGGGTCCCTTCCAGTTGTTTATATTGAGTTCATCGTGTAACCCTTCCACCCCTCTCTAGTATCAAATGTGTATCGGCACGTGCACCAACAGCTGCGCCCTATCGGTGAACACCTCGCTGCACATCTCGCACTTGAACAGGTTGTGCGCGTGCGCGGTGGCCGCGTGCTGCATCGATATCTCGGCCAGCTCGTGCAGCGGGCTCGGCTCGTCGATCGCGGGCGGCGGCGGCGGCAACGGCAATTGTTCCTGCTTGACGAGGGTGGGGGAGACGGCGTCGGGCGGTTCGAAGTCGCTCTCGGACTTGCGCGAGCGCGCCTTCGACACGATCATGCCTTCTTTGACTAGTCTCACCTGGAAGGAATAAAGATGGAGAATTGTATGGGAATCTCATATACAGGGTGTTTCAAAAAAACCTGACCCTCTTACTGGGGTAGCTAGAACACTGCAAAATAAGTTGGGTTTACCTAGGGTCCCTTGATGGAAATTGACGTTAAAGTCATCTTAACACTCTAAAGTGTTTGTGAAACAGTTAGTTCCATCCTTATTCAATTCTGGGGATAAACACTAGATTTTTGACATTTGTTGTTTTTTACCTAACCTGACTTGGCAGACGTTGTTTTGCTATGCAAAATATTTCTAGCAAATATTCTTTTAGTTAAATATTTACCAGTACACTTTATTTATCTCATTTTCTACTTATTTTTAGTTCGGCTGTCAATAAAAGCATGTTTCTTTAGTTTTTCAAAATACTTATCATTTTATACTCCTTTTCAGCTCGGCAATCTATCTCTTCAGTTTTTTGAACTACTATTCATTCTCTACTTCTTCTAAATTCGACTAAGTATCTATAAACGCGTGTTTAATTGATTTTTCAAACAACTATTTATTACCTACATCTTGAATATCCCAATTTTGACAAAAAAACATAAAGTTCGACCCGAAAACCCCCAGATACCAATCTTTAATAGAATCAGATCATAATTAGAAATATCTCTCGCCATATTGGATCCGTCATCTTGAATTTTCCAATTTTGACGAAAAAATCATTATCTCCTACCCCAAAAACTCCCATATACAACAAGTAAATACCCTGTACATACCTATTATTAAAATTTTGAATGATTTTCTGTGGCGCCCATGGATGTGACGTGACAGCAATGTCAGGGATGCCAGTAGACAAAACTAAAGTCTCTATATCATTGAAAAAGAATGCAGCTATGATCTGTCCCTACCCTGTTAAGATGACAAATACGTCAATTTACATCAAGGGACCCTAGGTTTACCCAGTGAAAAAATTTCGTCACGGCATCCGTTATCAAGATACAAGGTGTTGGAACAAATCATTTTTTAACACATTTTTCAAGATTATGTCGAAACTACTGGCAACATTGTGATGAAATTTTGAATGGATGTTTCTTGAAATCTAACACATTACATGTATTTGTTTTTATATCTGACTCTCATAGAGGGCGCTAGTTACACGGTTCGTACCGAGTAGTTTTGAACATAACCTTTTTGAGGTTAGATTTTTCAATCCAAATTTGATGTGAACTTGAACATCATTCAATTTCGCACCAAAAAGGTGCTCTTGATGAAACTTGATACTGTGTTCCGTTTTTGGAATATTTCGATTTGAAAATGATGAAGTGTTAACTGTTGCAGCTATAAAGCTATGTATTAGAGTGAGTATTATGAAAAATTACCACCTATTTATTGAAAATCGATAACAAAAATACATTTCTGGATTACATGGATTATACAATTTTGTTGTAACTTGAGCAGAAATTCTATGCTACATTGGTAAATTCACGTCAATAGTTGTAAGACATAATTGAACATCACTTAAATGGCCTAACAGCTGATCCTCAACTGTTTAGAAGGATAATACATTCGTAAGAAAAGAATATAGAATCGTGTATTCATCGAAACTTAGGACATTTTGAACACTTACTCTAACTGATTCAATATTTCATGTTTCTAGTCAAATATCTCTCAATTTTCTTATCATGATTCTTTGTTTCATCAATAACTTCAGCACAAGAATGATTTTATCGTTTTTGAATCTGAATAAATATGTAATTGAACTCAATAAAATTCATTTTATACCAGCATCATTACTACTCCATTATTTTCAAATCGAAATATTCCGAAAACAGAACATAGTATCGAGTTTCACCAAGAGTACCTTTTTGGTGTGAAACTAAATGATGTTCAAGTTCGAATCATATTTGGATTGAAAAATCTAACCTCAAAAAAGTTATGTTCTAAACTACTCGGTACGAACCGTGTAACTAGCGCCCTCTAGGGGAGTCAGACATAAAAACGAATTCATGCGATGTGTCAGATTTCAAGAAACATCTATACAAAATTTCATTACAATGTTGCCAGTAGTTTCGGAATAGTCGTGAAAAATGTGTAAAAAAATTATTTTTTCAACGCCTTATTTCATGAAAACGGATGCCGTTACGACATTTTTTCACTGAGCAAACCTAACTTATTTTGCAGTGTTCTACCTACCCTAGCTAGGGGGTCAGTTTTTTTTTCAAACACCCTGTATATATGATCTTCCCTACATTTAATTCAGACCAGGGAAGAGTCCCTCTTATCCTGATATTATTTAATGAAACAAAATGAAAACGGTTTGAAATGATGCGAACAGCCCTTCTGCCCCAAATGAGTTTCAAAAACACATTCTGAGAATTGAAAAAGATCGAACGGAATAAATAAATATCAAAAACTTGAGAATAGTAAATTTGGTCATAGTTTAGATATTTTCTCTAGTTTATGGACAATCTCGGTCTTTTGAACTTTGATTGATCACCTGGGTCATAATCAACTGCAGAACTCTTTTTGATGTCATTCCTTGCTAGCACAAGTCTCTCGAATCGAGGGTTGCTCGTAAGGGGGCAACCGAATGACGGATAGAAATTAAAAACAATTTCAGAATGTTAGAACAATTCAAAACAAAAAACATCCAAATCAAACAAGTAGTTTTGACGAGAATGTTTCTTGAACTTTTGGCTACTTTTTGGTGGTGCGTTAAATTCTTGGAAAAGTGTATATCTAAAGATCAATTCAGAAAAATTGGCTCAGATAGGTACCCTCAGTTAATTAAAATAGCAGTTTCCTAAATATTTCCAACCAAGTTGATCTTTTTAAACCTACTACAACAAAATAACGAATCCCGATGAAATGTTTAGCTGTTCAAAATTAAAAAAATGTTTTTTTTTTTCATGAAAATTCGACCTAATTCTCAATTACGAGCAACTAGTTGGGAAATATGCAGAAAAAAATTGAAATTTGATAGTTGGAATTGGAAAGTCCATAAGACAGTATGACATTCATTTTTATCAATTAGGTTTCCAGTCAGATGTATTGAAAATAACTTCCCCAGTTTTTTTTATCGCTTGGAGCGCACGAAAGCGAATCCCTATTGTAGTATTGAATGAGATCCAAGGTTTGAAAAAAGAAAGTTGGGATCGAGGTGATTTAAAATTTATTCTTCCTCACCTAGGTAAGATCTTGCCTTACAATAGTCACAATTCGTGAACTTGGAAACCTTACCTATGATCTAACCCATTATTGCTATTTTTTCAATGAAGTTCAATTATTTCGAAGTTTGGAGCGACGTTACTGAAAATCCATTAGACAAGAGTAAATTTCAGGTTCGGGGTGATCATCATGAATACAATACTAGGGGCCGGTTGCATAAAAGCTCATCATTAATCTGATGTCACTTCAAATATTTGACGGGACGTTATAAATGGAATTCGGTTGCATAAAAGGCCCATCATGTACATGGTGACTTGATCATCTAATTAACTTATCATAATGACTATTCAACTAAAAAATCGATTGCACAAAGGCCAATCAACTTCAGATGTCACATCAAATCGACTTATTCATGGCATCAACTTAATCAGTGCTCGACCACTGATCAAAGTGACAACCAGCAAAAGACTTGTGAAAGTTCCGGCAAATTATTCAGAATATTTCGCAGAATTTCTACAGAATCTGTATTAAACGTTAGAGTACTAAGTTCTTGTTTCTTTTCAAAAAGGTAGAGTAGGTAAATGAAAATTAAAGAAAATGTCTATCTCATCATTGTCTTTACTATCTGAAGAAGAACTACTGATTTCCAGACCAAGAACCTTGGAAATGAAACCTGAATGAAAATCCAGCAAATAAACCTACGCCACGCCCTTCTGGTCATTAGTAAATGGAATGATTATTATAACATCAGATTGTTTATGCAACGCAAATGACATTTAACTTAACATCAAAGTTATTGTAGCATCAGTTGATTGTATCATGTATGATTAATTTTTCTTTATGCAACCGGCCTCAGGTCTGCCAATCAATAAACTGCAAATTCCAAGATACCGACTTTCAAAATCAAATTAAATCCATACATTTGGAGCACTACAATGTACTTCCAACCAAATTGACCAATACTGCCTACCCTCACTTTAAAAATCTCCCGAGGAAATTAATTGTGAAACACTGCTTTTATTCAACTGAGGAATTCTTACGAACGTTCTTCGGAGCCTAAAATGAAATTGAATCTGACGTTGACCGTATTTACATGCTGATGTGTTGATATTTGGGCTCATGGTACAATAATAACTATTCGATGTTAACATTTTTGTTGTTTTTGTTTGACAAAACTTTGTTTTTTTTTTGTGTGCTATATTGATTTATTACCTATTTATAAGCACTTGTGCTCACTACCCTACATCACCCACTAGAATCACTAGATGTAATGTTTATGACCTGCAACAAGTGTATTTTTTGAAACTTAACTAAGTTAGCGCTGTTAGCAATGATTGCCTATGTCGCCGTGGTCGCCACTCGAGAGTAGCACTTGCGGAATACGACGATGCGGTGTTGCATTTCTCTCACCCCGGTTGTTATAATAGGGCCGGCTGTGATTTCTCGATTCTCCCTCACCTTGCTACCCGGCCCGATGACGTGCCGTCCCGGCTTCAAGCTGTTGGAGTTGCCTGCGGCGCCGCCGCTCGCACTTCTCGACCGCGTCCGCCTCGTGACCACAGCCGTCGCAGGAGGCTCTGGTTCCGGTACCGTTTCCACCGTCTGCTCGCTGGCCACCTCGGCGGAGTGCTCGAAGTGGTCCAAATAGATCACACCGTTGCTGTGCGGGTCCTCGACTGAATCATCAAGAAAAAAAATAACGGCTACATTCTTCTGTTTTGCTGATGGTACTTTATGAAAAGCCACACAAATTCAAAATACAATTCCCTGTGTCAGCACGACGTTACCGGCATCATCAATATGTCTAGATTTCCTGAAATTGTTCTATGAATACGTTATAACTATAGCAACAGCAATGGGATACAATAGGATTTTCAATCCTACTTCGTCGAGTATTATGAATAATTTCCATAAATCGCTCTTTTGCTGGATTAAGTTGTTTACTAATAAAGATAAATTATGATATTTTGAAATAGCATCTATAATTTTTCTCTTTCATTACATTACAAAATGATAAACATGACTTGTCAGTCATTTTATTTTAAAGAATTCGTTCCTTTATAAAACGGATCTATTTTCTAGGAAAGTTGCAGATTATATTGTTACGACCCTGGCAATCGATCCCAGCTACCTGCGGGAACGGGAAGTAAACAAGGCCATATTTCTTGGAATAGTAATTAGGTGATTCGACGGCTATTGAGATGACTCGAGAAGATTATCGACCTGTTCACGATATTTCGAGTGGAATCTAGACGGTTTATTAGGTAGTATAAATAGTTGTTGTTAGGGACAGGAAAAGAAGTCTTTATTTGGAAGCGTTATAATAACGATCGAAGAAGTGTTGTGAATCGGAAGTGTTTAGTACGAGTATTGTAATTATTGTATAGTAGTGTTCAGAATAAATCGTTTTAAGTGTTATACCGAGTGTTAAGTTATTACGGACCCAGAGTAAAAAATCGTAACAGTGGTGTCAGAAGTGTGGATTTTTCGAGGACATTTGAAGACGTATGGTGAATACAAGGAGTACGTCATACGACGCGATGGAAGACATTTTGAAATTTATGCAAAATCAGTTCGCGGAACAAGAGGAACGACGACAGAAAGAAAAACAAGAGGAGGAGAAACGTCGTCAAGAGAAAAAATTAGAAGAAGAGAAACGTCGTCATGAAGAAAAATTAGAAGAAGAGCAACGTCGTCAAGAAGAGTTACAGAAAATTCTAGAGCATCAAGAAAAAGAACGAGAACATCAGAAAATCTTCTTCGAACAAATTCTGCATAAAACTGATGTGCAAATAGATGAGTTGAAGACAGATTTCACCAAAATTGACGACAAGCTTAACCAGGAAGTTTCAAGAATAGATTCCATGTTCGATACAATCAAAAGAGATGTAGCGAATCAGATCGCCTCGCTACGAAGTCAAGATCGTCGTGACAGGGTTGCCACATCGTTTTCTTCCGTAAAACCACCAACTTTTGATGGACAGTCGCCTTGGTCTATGTATCGCCGACAATTTGAGGCTGCAGCAAGTGCAAATGGGTGGAGTGACGAGGAAAAAGCTACTGCACTCATTGTAGCTCTGAGAGGACCAGCTTTGGGGATGTTACAGTCGATCCCAGTGGAACAACAAAACCACTTCGGAGATTTAGTGGCTGCGCTAGAACTCAGGTATGGTGACCAACATCGAGAACAGCTTTACCGGGCTCAGATGAAAAATCGTGTGCAGAAGTCTGGAGAGAGCCTACAGGAGTTCGAAGCAGATGTGAGAAGACTGACTCAATTAGCCTACCCAGAGGCACCAGAGGACTTCAAAGAACATCTGGCGGTGCAGGTATTCATCGACGGGCTGAGAGACTCAGAAATACAGAAGACTCTGAGGCTTACACACTTTAAGAGGAGTGGTGAAGCCCTAGTAAGATCTCTGGAGGTAGAAGCGGCCTTCAACACCTCTAGGCCAAAAGTGAGAGCTGTGTCCATCGAGGAACCTTCCGAAGACGTGGACTCAGTGGCGAAAATGTTGAGAAAAGTGCTTGAGGAACTCAAAGAAATTAAGAGTGGGTCTAGTAACCAGCGAAATAGATCCTGCTATCGCTGTGGCAGAACTGGACACCTGATAAGGGACTGTAAGGTGAGAGTACCACCACGATCTTCTTCACCTGCAAGGACGCCATCACGGTCGTACTCACCTGCGAGGACTAGGTCATCTAGTGAGTCCTCAGATAGATACCAGGAAAAACTAGAACTAGCCAGCGTATCGGGGCGCATGCTGGCTAGTAATAACGAAGCCCCCAGGGTCATTAACATCAAAAGGATAAGAAGAACAACTGATAGCCTGAACATCAAAGGAAAACTACACCAGAATGCAGATGCCATGTCCAGAAGACCTTGTTCGGAAACCTGTAAGCATTGTCTGCGCATTGAACATCGAGAAGGAGCCGCTGATGTTAGAAAAACCAGACTTGTGACCGATGATAAGTGGACAGCAGCACACATGAGACGAGATCAGGAGAACGATCCGAATATCACTGATTTTCTACGTTGGAAAGAAAGAGGAACAGGAAGACCGACATGGAAGGATATCTCGGATAGAGGACCCGTTTTCAAGGCGATGTGGGCACAATGGGACTCACTAGTTGTGGAGAATGGATTATTGAAGCGAGTTTGGGAATCAGCTGATGGTAGATCAACAATTTCTCAGCTGGTTGTGCCCCACATCAGAGTTAATGAAGTTCTGGAAGAAGTCCATGGCGGAAAATCTGGTGGACATTTTGGAGTTAACAAGACACTGAGTAAAATTCGAGAAAGATTTTACTGGGTTCAATGTCGTGACGACGTGGAAAGTTGGTGTAGAAGATGTCCTGTATGCGAAGCCAGTAAAGGTCCCAGAACGAGATCAAGAGCTGGAATGAAGCAATACAATGTGGGTGCACCGTTTGAAAGGATCGCCATCGATGTAGCTGGACCATTCCCTTTGACTGATGTTGGAAATAAATACATCTTGGTTGCTATGGACTACTTCAGTAAGTGGGTAGAAGCATACGGCATGCCAAACCAAGAAGCCTCCACAGTTGCCAGGATATTGGTCGACAACATGTTTTCACGGTTCGGAGTACCAATGGAATTACATTCTGATCAAGGGAGAAATTTTGAGTCGAACTTATTCAAAAAGGTCTGTGATCTAATGGGAATCAGTAAGACGAGAACAACTCCACTACATCCACAATCCGATGGCATGGTCGAAAGATTCAACCGAACTATGGAAGAACATCTTTCCAAAGTAGTCGAAGAGCATCAGAGGGACTGGGACAGGCATCTTCCCTTATTCCTGATGGCGTATAGAGCAGCTGTCCATGATTCAACGAAGCTAACTCCAGCTAGTATAGTCTTTGGAAGAGAACTCCGCTTACCTTGTGACTTGGTGTTCGGTTCACCAAGTGTTGAAGAAAAGGAAGTACAAGACTACGCAGATGAGCTCCGGAATGGCTTGATGAAAATTCATGAGACTGCTCGGAAGAGATTGAAATTAGCAAGTGACAAAATGAAGGCACGGTACGATCTCAAAGCCAATTCAGAGGGATTCTTCGAAGGAGATCGAGTTTGGCTGTATAATCCTCGACGGAAGAAAGGCGTATCACCCAAATTAACACCATCTTGGGAAGGACCGTATACGGTGTTGAAAAGGATCAATGATGTGGTCTACAGAATCCAACGCAGCCCTAGGACAAAGATGAAAGTCGTTCATCTTGAAAGACTGAAGCGCTACCATGGTGAGGAGAGTTCTGTTTTTGATCGGGACGATCAAATTTGAAGAAGGGGGTAAATGTTACGACCCTGGCAATCGATCCCAGCTACCTGCGGGAACGGGAAGTAAACAAGGCCATATTTCTTGGAATAGTAATTAGGTGATTCGACGGCTATTGAGATGACTCGAGAAGATTATCGACCTGTTCACGATATTTCGAGTGGAATCTAGACGGTTTATTAGGTAGTATAAATAGTTGTTGTTAGGGACAGGAAAAGAAGTCTTTATTTGGAAGCGTTATAATAACGATCGAAGAAGTGTTGTGAATCGGAAGTGTTTAGTACGAGTATTGTAATTATTGTATAGTAGTGTTCAGAATAAATCGTTTTAAGTGTTATACCGAGTGTTAAGTTATTACGGACCCAGAGTAAAAAATCGTAACAATATCTTGAAACAGCACATTTCACTTTGAGCCCGTCCACACCACACAAAATATTGACAGGCACACCGAGGGCTGATCAGATTTTGTGGTTATGTATGTTTTTGTTTACCACTTTTACTTGTGTCGATTTTTGATCTCCAGTTATTCGTTAGCCTTTGTCAACAGTTCATAGTTGTTATGTTAGTTAGTTGATTATCGTTATTTTTCATAGTAAAAAAACGACGCCAAGTTGTCTCTTTCTTCTATTTTTTTATTCTCTAGCTATATTCTCCATCATCAGCTATATTAAGACTAGATTCAGAATGTACGTCACAGTTTGCCGTCCCGAAAATCAGAAATTGCTCTTATTTTGAAAATTAAATCGACTTGGACCTTATCAATCGCCATTCTGTACAGCATGGAAATATAAATGAGGAGTTCCGAAGTTATATTATGAAAATGCATCTGGAGGAAACTTCCCCATTATTGTCTCGTACGTACATCATTTCGAGTTTCTCACCTGTTTCCGTAGTTTCTTCGGATTCGACGATGACACTTTCCTGTTTAAGGAGAGCGTTCATAACTTTACTCATAAACTTATAAGCTCTGCTTAAAAGGTAATAAAACGAACTAGATCGCGAATTCGGTCGTAGGGAAAACGGTTTTGAACATTAAACAGAAGCCAAGCTGCACACGATCGATCGAGCCAAATACGTATGCTAACAACATTCGAGCGAAACCATCAAAAACTGATTCACCCGTGCAATCAGCCCCCGAAAACTGTCTCGTACGTGCGGTATTTCGAGTGTCTTACCTGTTTCCGTAGTTTCTTCGGATTCGACGATGACACTTTCCTGTTTGAGAAAGGCGTCGACAGATTCGAGGGGGTCCTTTTCGGGGAAGGTGGCCAGAGGGGGTTTGTCGAGCTGCAGGATGTGGTAGTTGACGTTTTTCGTGCGAGGCCGGATGCGCTCGCCTGCAAAACAGTGAGGTTAGGAATGAAAGTCGAATGTACTTCTGGAATCTGTCAACGTTCTCTGTTAACGTTGGTATTTTTTGTTTGCTGTTCACCTAGGATAAAAGCCACACAAATCTCACATATTCATAGGAGTTTACATAACAACATCAATGAGGGCTGGCATTATTTCTTGTTCACCTAAACGCGCCACTGAAACGTGTGGTCAGGGTTGGCAGAACTGATTAATATACCTACTTCTTATTTTCGTGAGATTTGGCATCTTCCTACAATATTCAATACTTCGACTTCCGACCGCGGTGGAAGACAGGTGGCGTCTTGATGTCGGAAGTCAGGTTAATGTTTTTGTGATCGTGAGTTTGAAACGCTAAAAGAGCACAATATCTGGTATCACTCTGAGTGAGACATCCAGGGTGCTCGAAAAACGAAACCCTTATTATTCACGCCGGTATCCAGGCCGGATGGGGACGGATTCTCCGTAATAAGGGCTCTAGCTGTATGTCGTAAGACAAGAGGCCATTTATTCAGAGAGAGAGAGAGAGAGAGAGAGAAAGATCTTCTTCTCCGTCAATGAGAGAATTGGTCATAAAGTCCCACATTAAGACTAAAGAAAACGTAATTTGGCTCAAGTATTTCGATAACTTGAAGTTTTCTATTTGTTCAAATACTCTACATCAATTTGTATCTATTATTTTCGATAAAACAGGCCATAGTCTTTGGGGCTATCCGGCAAAATTTTGGGATTTTTGACTTTGACACTGACCTCACGTTTTAGTAGCGTCAACTGGTGATAGTGAAAATGTTGGCCCTCATTGTAGTCTTTTGGGTATTTCGTGGTGTTTGTTATATTGGATTGAAATTTAAGATGATAATGTTAATACTTCTCTATAGGTTCTAATGAAAAATAATCTGTATTTGCATGCTGACCAATCTTCTAATATACTTGAAGGAAACAAATTGGACACCACTAGCTACTTACCACCATGATTTTTTTTGTTGATCTGTTTTGGGATTTCGATATGAACTTACACTAACTACTATCATCTAATATTCAAATATTTTATGAATAGAACCTTGTTATTTTTTATTTGAACCCTGACAAACTCCATTCAAAATAATTAATTTCTCATCGTTACCGAAATACCTATTCGTGTAAATGATTTTGGTGATTATATTTTATGAAAAAAGTACTTGTAGACAAATGTCAGGAAGCGCGTTGTTCCCAAAAAAGAGGATGAAGCATATTAAGATAATCGTTTTCTCAATAAAATGATACAAAATGCTGCAGAAATTTGAGTGACAATCAAATGCTTTGATAGTTTCAAGTGACCTACTGATATCTATCAATAATTGAAAACTAAAGAAAACACAGGTGAACTAGGGGTGAAACTAAAAAACCTACATCGGGTAAAAAAAAATCTATTCCATCAACTAACAGTACAATCCCAAACAAAAAATAATAGCTCTACACAACAACCAGATTTGAAATCAACAACTAAAACTACAATTTCCTCAAATCTAACAAAAATCTACATTACCTAACGAATGATGGATCATAGTTAAGACTAGACTGCCATTTACCTACATACATACCTATATCTCTTTCTTTCTCTCCCGTCAAGAATCAGTAGATTCAATAATACATGTATTTTATAAATTAAGTATTTTGCATTAAGTGTGAAAGAATATTAATACTCTTTTGTATCTTCCTTGGTATCTAGAAGTTGATCAATATAAAAAAATCTGATATGTCTAACAAACGGTCAACAGAAATGTAGTTGGATAAGAAGTAATATTGGATATTCAGCAAGATAACACAGAAAATGGCCAGCATACATCTGCATTCCAATAAACAGTGCTGAATATTCATCTTGCATACATGATTATGAACTATAATCATATAGGTATTCGGTATTTGGCCAGTGTTGAATATCCGGTTATCGACCGAATACCGTGCAATATACGCCTTATTCGGCCACAAAGCTTCATACAAAAGTGGTTGCAACGATTTATCCTGCTGAAAACAAAATATCATATAAACTGATACCGAAAACCTAATATTTTACATGTGGAATACTGAATATTTCGTACCTTGATCAAATATTTGCCAAATATTCATATTGCATTCATGTTTATGAGCATTATTAAACCATCAGCGAACAAATAATACAAAATAATCAATTTTCGGTGGATTAACGTACAGAATATGAAGTATTCGGTCGAATAAATGATGCAAAATAACCTAACCTCAAGTGTTCGGCAGATTAAACAGTTCCAATGCAGTTCAAGAACCGGTACCTTTCTCGCCATATAATCAGTGAAAAATATTCTGTATTTGGCCGAAACAACAGTAAATAGCCTTCTGTATTCGGTCAAATAAACGGTTGCAACGCCCTTCAAGAGTCACTTTCAATCTGGTAGGATAATTAAAGCAGAATATTCTGGTTGAATAATCAGCGCAAACTACTTCGTTTTCGGCCAAATAATAGTTACACATCTGTGTATTCAGAAAAGATGATCAATGCAAAATATTCTGTATTCGGCAGAATCATCAGTGCATAACACCCTGTATTTAGCCAAATAAACCATTTCAACGCTCTTACAGAGTTGGTACCAACTTGGCTGATTAGTCAGTGCAAAATATTCGATATTAGGCCGAAATAACAGTAAATAACCTCCTGTATTTGGCCAACAGTTCCAACACACTTCTAGAGTCGGTACCGATCTTGCCACACAATCAGTGCAAAATATTCTGTATTCGGCCGAATCAACAGTGAATAACCTTCTTTATTCGGCCAAATGAACAGTTCCAACTACGTTCAAGCCAATATGACCGAATAATCAGTGCAAACTTGTCTGCTTCAGGACGAATAAACAGGTATAACTGACGGAGAAAGAAAGAGATGCAGGAACGAATGTTATCGATTACGTTCAGGCCAAAAAATCCGTCCAGTCGGCCGCCATGTTGTCGCACTCACCGGTGGCCGACCGAATCTCGGCCGGCTGCGTCCTCGTCACCAAAGTTTTCGTTTTGTGGCGCACCCTGCCGCCGTCGCCGGTCTCCACGGCCACCCGCGTCTTTTGCGTGTGGATCATCTTGGGGCGGCTGGGGGCGGCCTGCGGCTGGGGGGACTGTGGGGGCGGCGGAGAAAGCGAGGGCGGTCGCAAGTCCTTCGGTTTCGTTTTCTTGGCCGCTTTGGAGATCACCAGCGACGTTATGCTTTCTGCAGGATGATAATGGTAGATGATGATTAGTATTAACAGTGAGTGAGACAATGAACTCAATATAAACAACTGGAAGGGAGACGGCCGTTCTCTCGAATAGCACAAAGTGTGTCAGGGGCAGCTGCAACAAAGATAGCATGATTTACGGTAACCTGTCTCTTTCCTACTCGTGTTGTTTAATATTAGATTGGTGTTTACGTTTTCCTTTATCTAATAATTAAAGTACTTTAGATTCTTTTCTCTCATCTAAACAGGCAAGAAAATGAGGATATAAGCTCATTGTCTTCGTTTATGTGAAATATCTATTCATTTGGCATGTTTTATTTTATAAAAAGGACTGAATTTGTTGGTGTGAACACTGTGAACTGATTGTTGAGAAGGTTTTGATAAACAATGGTGATTTATTGTGTCGCCTTTGGATGCAAGAACGAGCAAGACAAAAGGAAATTGTCATTCCATGGGTAAGTTGAATATTGTTCAGATTTTTGGAAAATATAGTTCGTGTACAATGTTCCCAGTCTTAGAATATGTTCATAAACTATACCTATATTATTTGTCAAAGTTAAATACTTTCATGACTTTTCCATAAACATATTAAGTAATATTATTTGTTGCAGTTTTCCATTCAGACATTCTTGAATAATTGTGGATTAATGCAGTTCGTAGAGAGAGTTTGTCTCCATCTAAAACCAGCAAGCTTTGTGGAGAGCATTTCCTGCCATCTGATTATTTATTTAGACATACCAGGTACTGCTAGGTTATTGAAACCAGATGATGTACCCAGTACGTTTCTATTTCCTAAGCATTTCAAACCAAAAAATACTGATCCTTGAAGGAAAATAAGGAAACTCTTAGGTACCTAGTTGATTAATAATGAAAAAAAAGTATGTTTGCACTTCTTTAAAATAAAACACAAGCTAGTTATTTATTTTTAGGATGCATATGTGGAAGTTAATAACATTGGGTCCTAAGGAAGATGTTTCTCATATTATGGACTCAACCTATGACTTCCAGCTCCCAAGTTTTGAAGTTCATCAATGAAGAAACCCAAACTGTTCCATTGGAGAAGGATATTGTATTGAGAGTATTTGTTTAATTTCTAATAGGGATATGTTTGTAGGCAGTGACCTAATGGTAAAACAGGAACCTATGGAAATCATGCTCAAAATGGACTATAGGTAGTCAATACCATTCAAGAACCTCTTTTCAAATTTTTCCTATCGTTTTTCTTTTTCTTCTGATAGTGCTAAGACATTGTGCTTCGCTCACCCTGTACAATATATTGTGACATTTGGATGAAAATATATTATTTCAATTATGTATTCATTTGACTTCCTGATCCTGTAAGAATAAAAATGAAATTTCATTTTTAGGTCAATAAAAATATCAATAGTATTTTTTTAATGATAATTGATTGCAACATTTTCCTTTTGCCTATATGAATATTTTTGTTTAATCACGTTTACTCTCAAATAAAAGCAAAAAACGAGAAAATATTTCAAATAATGCGATCGCTTCCCATTAGCTAACATAAGATAGAGAGAGATAGGTATCCGTAAACAATGCGGGTTGCCTGAACAATATTTTTGCCTCACTCGTCGTTCACAGAGGGTCCCTTCCAGTTGTTTATATGGAGTTCATTGGAGTGAGATGAATAACAGTGGTGATTAGCATTATTTAAACGCTGTAGCAATAAAATTGAAAAGTTTACTGTTTGTCCCGATACTATGTCGTTTTCGGCAGAAAACGAAGATGACACATTTCTGCGAGGGAAGCAAATTATATATTAATTATAATATAATACACATTTTCAGGTATATTTATTCTGTATGTTTGTTCCTTAATTGAAATATTTGAATACTACTATAAAAATAATTTTAATGTTCCTAATTTCATCATTACATAAAATTATAATGTATTTTATAAATAACTGTGGCAACGCTGTACTAGCGTGTTTACTAAGAGTGACGCATAATTTCCTCAAGTTTTCCTTGTTATAAAACTATATAATGACAATTATCAATAGTCTATTATGGTTTATGGTTCGCCAGTGCGTGAATTGTGAAAAAGTTCACCATTCAAACCTCGAATTGGTATTTCGACTGTAAGGTTAGGTTGTTTTCAACAACCAGTGGTGTAGGTATCGCAGGTTATTCAACTGAATCATTGCAAGAAACATTGTTTATCTCGTTCAAATTCAACTGAATGATGAATCAAAATTAACATACGTACTACGAATATTTGGTATTAAAAAAATATATTAGAGTTGAAAACGATTGGTCATAAAAAAAATCAAGAGGTTCCAACTTGAACGTTGGTAATTTGTTATTTGAACAGACCTCTTAATCACAGATTCTTGATTGGGTTTCCTCAATTCAGAATTTTTTTCTACGCCCTGTATGATAAATATCAATTTGTCATACAGCTAAACAAAATAGAAGATTAGACCCAAACATTGTCTAATAGTTCTAAAATTGTTCTAAAATTGTTATTTTTATTATTATTAAGATAGTAAATGGGGGTCAGTGAAAATATATCGAAAAACATTATATCGAAAGACAAAATATCGAGAACAAAATATCGAAAAACCGAATATCGAATGTAAAAAATATCGAACGGAAAAAATGTCGAATGGAAAAAATATCGACTGACATAAGTGACATAACAGCGAACGGAAATATTATCGAATTACATAATGTCGAAGGGAAAAAATATCGACACAGTATATTATCGAATAACAAGATATCGAAAAGGAAATATTATAATTAATAAAACAACTGACTTTGATAAGTTGATTTGAAAGCTGGTGTCAAAATGTCTTCGAATTTTCAATATGTTTCTAGCCAGAAGGGAAATAATAAACTATATCACAATGGTTATTTATACACCCGCGAGAAACAATCAGACACCGTCAGTTATTGGAAATGTGAGCAATGAAAAATCAATGGATGTAAAGGAAGAGCTATGAGTGCAGATATGGAATAGCAACTGAGAAAAATTATCACAACCATACAGGAACGCCATCGAAATTCGAATTAACCACAGGATTAAACAAATTGAAGCAAGATGCAAGAAAAAGTAAAGATTCTCCGCAAATGCTGATTTCGATATTGCCGGAAACTCTGTTCGACTAGTCGGAACTGTCAGGCCTCTATTTTCTTTCTGTCTGATATATCGGATAGTTCTTTTCATACTTCTTATAGATGGTAGCCTACACTTCCTCAGCTTCTCAGTTTCCCGAGGTATATAGAAAAACGGAAAAAGGTGAAAATTGGTTATTACTCATGTGATTTTGTTCTATGAGTTGTATCTACTTTTTTTATATCGAATCAATGCATATTATGAAAAGTATTTTATTCATAATCCATAATAAATTAATCTTCCTCGAACAATTCGCAAAAAAGACAGGTCAGTTTGTTCAGAATTGGTAGCGTCAGTTTTTCAACGTTTTTCATACAGGTTTCTTCGTTCAGGATATTTCATCTTTACAAAAGTATGTACCTACATTATAAAATCTACTCGAGAATTTGAAAAAGGTGGAAGTCGATATCTTGTTCTTCGATATTTTGTTATTCGATATTTTCTTCCATCGATAATTTGATTCTCGATATATTTTCCATTCGATATTTTTTCCGTTCGACATTTTTTCCGTTCGATATTTTTTCCATTCGATATTCGGTTTTTCGATATTTTGTTCTCGATATTTTGTCTTTCGATATAATGTTTTTCGATATATTTTCACTGACCCAGTAAATGGCGCTTCTTCTGAAGGGATGTTTACACTGACAAAATAAATATGACACCTAATCCAAAATCAGGGTAAAATTTTAATGCACGAAAAATAATCGAAATTTTACGATGTGGACATCTTTCTATAATAAAAACTTCAACCGTTACGCCACGTCGTAAGTCATAATATTAGGCAAGTGTAATATTGGCTCCGATATTAACCAATGAAAGCGGAGGACAACGCTTTCCTATGACTTCCAATGCTGTCTTCTTAGTTGGAATGGACTATAGCAGTGGGCGATTAAAATCAAGAATCAACGGATATCTGGAAAATTTATGAAAATTATCGAAAATTTCTTCGATGATTATCGATATTATCGATAAATCTATATTATCGATGTACCGATTTATTATTTGATTATAATCGATATTATCGAAAATAATTATTATCGATATATCGATAAAATTGTTCACCCCTCGTTTAAGTTGCCATTTTTCTCCATAACTCCGATTAACTTGAAATTTGGCAGGTGTTCATAATTTCGTTAACAATACATTATTAAATTTTTGTTGAAATTAAAAAAAAATGGCTGCTCCAAGATGGCGGACAAGATTTGGTCCGATTCCATCGAAAATTGGTAAGTGGGAGTTTTTGAGGTCAGAGATCATGATTTTTTTGTTGAAATTTATAAATTCAAGATGGCGGTTTCCAAATAATTTTTAGTTTTTGTATAAATGACGATAACTCCGTTGTTATCAACACAAAACTATTACTGCCACATATCATCTGTAAGAGAAGAAAAAGTTATTTGTAACTAAGTCACAGTGAGCTATGACCTACATTTGAAAAACTGAAGTTGGTGCTGATATCTCAAATTCTAGAAGAGTTGGTATAAATTCCATATTTATTTCGAAATCACTTTGTAAAACTGCTATGAGAATGTGAAATTCCTATTTGAATATTTTCATAAATAAAGAAGTTACGGAGGAGACATGAAAATGATCAAAATCTGTTTTTTGCGTATAAAACAAAAACGAAAAGATTTTATCAAAATATTTTTTCACATTATAGTTGGCCTTGACAAACTCCACATTTGGTGTCATTTAACCGACCTCGTATATCTCACCGTTAAAAAGATACCCATGGTGAGCATGGTAAGTGGGACACACTGTATTTCTTACTAATTTGAAACTATGTATGTAGTATGTATGATTATGAAAAATGATGTTTTATGAATGAAATGTTATGTCTCCCCTCTTTACATATGTCTATGATTGAAACGCATGCATCTGCAGCTACTTTATTTGATTTATGAGGGTTTGACCAATATTTTTCATTCGTCATTACATAATTTACGCTCGCTAACCCTTCTACATTTATATAGGAAGTTATATAAGTACGTGGCCGAAAAGAAGCCCGATAATGCCTCGTTTCCAAGGTACAGGGTGTCAAAATTATTAAAAGGAATGTTGATATTTTACAGCGAAACCGTAAGTTTGATGCCATTATGTAAAATCCAACTCCCACAAAAGTAGATTTACATAATTTTGCTTCAGTTTTCAACATAAAAAGAGGAAAATTATTGTTTGAAATTGGTCTTTTTATTTTCGTCTATTGAAATTAGTGACAGAAAAATGTGAGTTACATTGACAATGTCACTTTGGGGTATATCATCCAATGTTCCTTTACTACAAGTATATTGAAATTTTTAGTCATAGAAATCAGGAGAAAATTCCAAAAATTCACAAAAATGTACTAAATACGGGGCCCATTCCTAGTTGAGTTTCTACTTATTTTCTTCACATTTCAAAGTATTCCTATTCAGACTTTTCTGTTTTTTTTTTTCGGGTTACTCAACAACATGGGATTAGCTTTATTCTTCCATGGTACGTGTTTTAGGAGAATAATGATTTTGAATCAATCATAATCATAATGCCATTCAACTAATTATAAATCTTTCAAAAATAGATATCGATATTTTTGAAAAAAATTCACACAAACTTCAACATTTTGATATGAATCAAAGAACTTACCGATGGCCGATGAACAACTGTTGTACAAATCAGTGTACGACTCGGAAATCGCCTCATTCGTGGCATTATTAGAATTGGCAGATTTCTTCAGTTGCCTCTTATTGTACCTCTTTCTTCGTTCCCTCTCCTCCTCAAAATCATTGAATTGATCGGCCAAATCCTGAAAGTAGCCCTGAAGTCACATCATTAGTAAGAAGATCAAAATAATAATAAAATGAAGATTATAAAAAAATTATAAAAAATTATAAATTGACGAAACTCTCTTTGGAATGAGGAAGTTTTCAGGTGAACAAACAGTAACTAGAAATTGGAGTTTGGGTAATTGAGAAAGCTTGTGGGAATATGGGAAAAATAATTTCAATAATACCACTTATTCACTTTGCCATCCATACTCGTAGTACCCTATAATATCTATTAAATATCAGTTTCTTGTGAATACATCAGGTAGACTGAAAAATTGCAAAAGCTGGTGATACGCAAAAAAATTTCCAGCATGAACATCTTGCCCAGTATTCAATAATCGACTACAAACACTTCAATGTTGAAATGAGCCTTTCCAGTCATTTCTAGAAAAAAATATGATAATGATAATAATTATGATAATAATAATATTTATTTCATTCTCTGGTATGAGATTATTCATGCATTGTCTTATTTTACTGTCTTCTTCATTTGATTTTGTCAAATATATTTATGCATTCACCATGTTCCCTGCTATAAACACATGATGTTTCTTGAAAATAATAAAGTTGATTGATTGATTGATTTTTTGACTTCTGATATCATCAGGTAATTTATTGAATTTTGAGATAGCTCCGTGAGTGAACTTTTTTTGGCCAAGAGAATTCATCACCAATATGAAGTTAGATTTGAGATGTTTGTTGATAATATCAAAAGAAATTTTGAGAGTATTTATCAGATAGTGCTCTTCCAAAGAAAATGTATTTGTTCCTTCATAAAGTTGATTTGATGGGGTGTGATATGGAAGACCATACAGTACCTTTTAATGCCTTTTTATATAGTACAGATATTTTGTTTAAATCATTCGGAACATGTAGATAATAATAATAATAATAATAATAATAATAATAAATGCTTTTATTGTAGGTACAGCAATCAGCTTATATCCTAACAAAAGGCAGGATTCAATGCCTGCACATGATTGCTCATGGCAGGAATTGCTCTTCCATCCAACCAGTGGAGTAACTTATCATAATAAATTCATAATAAATAATATTATAAGGTACATACAATAGAATATTGTAGACTATTCAACTGCTCCGAAAAATTCATTTTACTAAGGATGTGAGAGTATTGAACGGTATTTGCTTTTTTTTTTAATTGACTCGGCCGTTACTTGAAACTCTTGAAAGCATTCCAGACCTAACTCCAACCAATCACAGGCTAATAAGCTAAGTCCCCATATGTGCTAAAATTATGGAAAGAATAATTTTGGACCAACTTCTACCATTTCTTATCGAAAATGATACGATACCTTTGTATCACCATGGATTTGTTCCTGGAAGATCTACAACAACAAACCTACTCCTCTGCCTCGACAATTGGACAAAAGCTCTCGACTCCTCAGCTCCAGTAGACATTTTTTATTTAGACTTCTCTAGAGCCTTCGACAAGGTACCCAAGAATGAGCTTGTCTTTAAGCTCGAACATTTTGGAGTTCGGGGTGACCTCTTGAAGTGGATAGATGGATTCCTCAGCAACAGGAGGTTCAGAGTCAGAGTTGGTTCTTCATTTTCAAATTACCACGATGTTCTATCAGGGGTGTCACAGGGATCTGTCCTTGGACCGACGTTGTTCCTATTATATGCCTCTGACTTAAAAAATGTAATCTCTTCGAACCATTCTTTTTTCGCCGATGACAGTAAATTTTTTGGAAATCCAGCTACCAGTTGTGCTTAGCTCCAAACCGATCTCGCTTCGCTAGAACAATGGTGCTCCGACTGGGACATCCCCTTGAATGACAGCAAATGTTGTGTACTACATCTTGGCAATAACAATCCATTCCACAACTACCGTTTATTCAACAATATAGTGCCGTCCGTGGACGAGCAACGTGACCTAGGTATCACCATAATCGAAAAACTCTCCTGGTCGGGTCATGTATAACAGATATTGTACACAAAGCAAACAGTCGCATCTTTCTACTGCGCAAGTGTTTCACCAATCCTGGTCCACAACTAGTTGGTCAACTATACAAGTAGTACATACGTCCTCTACTAGAATGGTGTTCAAATCTATTCTCCACACCTAGTGAAAGACATACAACTCTTAGAGAGACCCCAACGTCTGGCAGCCCGAATGGTACCCTCACTCAGGCACTTATCCTATGAAGATAGATTAACCACATTGAAGATTCCATTTCTCAGACAGACGAGCCAGAGGAGATGCTCTTCTGACCTGCCGCATACTGCACGACACATTCTCCTTCGACATGCAGCATATTTTTGAGCTGAACACGGACCCAAGGCTGACAGGACATACAATGAAGCTTAAACGCGAACACTTCAAGTCCACCGTCAGGCAAAGTTTTTTCGCCAATAGAGTATTTGGGCTATGGAATTCGCTCCCAGAGGCCGTTGTGACAGTTCCAAGCATGAACAGTTTCAAAAATGGATTCGAAGCGTTCCAGTGTTCTAATTTCTGATTGATGTATGTACCTATTGTGCTGATTTCCCTTTTTGTCGATATTTTCGATTCTTATGTTTTTACGATATCACTTTGTACTGTAATGTAAATTTATACTTCTGGGCATAATAGGCTCTGCCTCTGTCCTTATTGTCAGTTAATAATAATAATCAGAGACACTGACGTCTCAGCTCAGTTGCTCTTGAATTCCCAGATATTGAAGTAGCATTTGCAATATTAATAAATAATTCATTTGTTCTTCGATTTTCTTGATAAATATGTGGTCAGGATAACGTTTCTGATTTTCCTTATAGTAAATAAAGGTAAAATTTTACGATTCTGGAAAGGCTCATTTCGAGATACATGTCAGAATTATGACCAATATCCTCGATTCTGACATGCAACTGGAAAACTCGACTTTTTATATCATTATTATAACAAGTTCGATATTTTTTCTTCCATAGTTACCTCTGTATGGTCGTTGTCCTCGTCTTCCACCCTGTTCGATATCATCTCCAGCTCGTGCGGCTTCAGTTTCCTGCGGCGTTTGTACTTTCTCGGCCCGATCTGCGGCTGTCGCTTCATCGCCGTGTTCATGTCGCAATGGTGGATCAGGTGGACGATCAGGTCCTGAGAGGTGGCGAACATGTCCGAACACACCGAACAGCAGTACGGAGTCATGCTGAGAAATAGTATGTTGCAGTATAAGTGGATAAGGGTATTTCTCCAAGGAGGCTCACCCCAATAACATTTTTTTCTGGTTTGACCGGAAATGACCCCAACTTTCGATTTTTAAATGATCCAATATATTTTCAATTATTATGACCGAGAATGACAATCAAATAATTATTCAGGAAATGATATTTCACAAAAAGCCACCACAATTAATTAAAAGTAAAAAAAAATAATAAAAAGCTTTCATTTAAACGCTCTAAAAAGAATAAAATAATATGTTCCTTTATAATTTTAACTATAATTAACGGGATACATTCATATCTGCGACTTTTAAATAAAAATTATCCAAACGACTGTGAAGTCATAAGCCTCAAAAGTCATATTTTTCTCATGATACTTGATGAAGAATTGAGGGATTTACAGAATCCAAGGCATTCTATATCATAAAACGAAGATCTACTGATTTACCCATTTGTGTCGTTTCTGTTTGCAAATAGCATATGGCTGTAGGAAAAATACTGGTATCACAGCAAGATTCGAAAAAGAGGCAACACAGGTTTCAATAAATCTGAACAGTGATAATGGTCGCGTTATTTTGTTATTCTCTGGTGTAGAAACGAATAAAACAGCAAAGAATGAAGAATTACATTGAGGTGATGACAACCGTGTGACAACCACATACAATCAAACTATCACACAATCAACATAATTATCAATAAAAACATCAAAGTTGAGATAATATCAATTTTTGGATCTTTGGATTGGATCAATTGGATTGAAAATACATATTGAATAATAATTTTTGTAGGTGCAGGTGATGATGTGGGTATTTGTACTATGACTAATCAATAATCATTACCTAGAAATTGATGATGTTATTGGATATTACCTATTAATTGAGAATATTGTAGTGAATCATGTAGTGAGCATCATAATATTGAGTATGGAAATGGAAAGTGCATTGAAACTTATATTTGTTGGAGAAGATGATAGCTAGCGACATTCTTCATGAAATTATGGATTCGCATTTTTTGATAAAACGTCGAAAATTCGAGTGGTCCACTTAATTCTTTGAGCACTTTAGTTGAAAACAGTGTTTTCGGATAAACATTTTTCAATGTTTCAACAATATTGTTATCAATTGAACTCATGACCAAGCTTGCAGTCACTGTCCCAACCGAATACAGAATTGCATAGCAATATTGTTATGTTATGATTCGGTTATGATCATGAGGATATGGTTTTCTTAGCGATGTTTATAACAAGATCCGAACAGAATCAATCCGAAATTTATTGTTTTGTTTAATACGCCCAGTGAAGGGTCTTAGGTGATAGGCCCCACGTTTTCCCGAAGGCTCTTCTGCATGCCCAGTAGCAGCATATAGTCTTCTCCATATAAAGAAACCTTCAAAAAGGCTCACGAGAGAGATCCTGTCACTTAATAGAAGGGATCTCAAGATGGTAGTTGGGCTCTTAACTGGGCACAACCACCTCAACAGGCACCTAGAACTCATAGGGATCAAAGATGATACCATCTGCAGATGGTGCTTGGAGGATGATGAAACATCATCACACATACTCACTGAATGCCCCACGCTGGTGCATCAGAGGAAAGCTGCCTTTGGGAGCATTGTACTGCACCCAAAGGATGTGAAAGCGACTCAGCTGAGGAAGCTGCTGAATTTCGTCAAAGAAATCGGCATGCCCAATTGATTCACAGGACAAGTGGGCGTACAATGGGCCCGACTGAAGAGGCCTGAGTGCAGGGGTCTACGCACCCGCCCACCTGTGCAGAGAAGAAGAAGAATAATACGCCCAATTGTTTGTACCCCAATTTCGACTTGATACAAATTAATATATTTGAAAAACATAATCTCAAAATCATGCAAAACCATAGTAGTTGGGTCAAAAATTTTTAACAGAGTTCCATCAAAATTGAGACGTTTGAATATTGTAACATTCAAAAAAAAAATTAAAATTTGGTTTTTGGATAATGCAAAAGAAATTGATAATCTCTTCAAATAATTTTTTTTTTTTTTTTTTTTTGTTTGTGTGCTTTGTATATATTGAATTTATAATCAATATTTAATCTAAATATTTTTAAGAACTTGAAAATTTTTTACAAAATAATAATTATCTAATTCACACACAGGTCAATAACCTATGTGAAGTAGATAAAATTTAGAATTTTTATAATATTAGAATATGTATGTCTTTGTAAATGTATTCATATGAGAATAAATAAATAAATAATAATAATAATAATATGGTTGACAGCAGGTGAACGGTAAACTGAGCACCCAGGCGGTCTCAACCAAAAGGGGATGCACTGCCCAAAACAATGTTTCTCACCTGTTGGTGTATTTGGGATCCGGCCCGGAATGGTGCGACCTGATATGCTCCCGGAGTACGACACGTTGATTGAAGGCCCTGGGACATACGGCACACGCGTACGGTTTCTCGCCCGTATGAATGCGTTCGTGCTTCCGAAGGGTACCGCCATCGGCGAAGGCCTTCCAACAGAATCTGCATCCGTACGGCCTCTCACCTGAAAATATATTCATTTATTCATTTATTCATTAAACAATGTATAATAAAATGTATCATGTACTCATAAGGTGATTACTAGTTACAAATCTGGCACAATCATGTGGTTCTACATTTTATGAGAAAGCCAGAATGCGGTTCATGACGCCGAATTTGATTATTGAAACAAAATATTTGCGAAGATTTTAAATAACGAATGATGGGGAAGACCACTGATGGAAGAAATCCGTGCAAACCTCTTTCAATCGGAATCATGATTTCCGTTTGATGTACAATCAATATTATGAGTTGAAGTTGAAGGAAAACGAATCTATAGCGTTTTGAATCCAAAAGCTAAATATGAAGGTGGAGCCGTGACGTATTAGTCCCGACTGTAGCTATCTCTTTCTGATACCTCGCCATTCTGCAGTGTTGCAGTGTGATTGGTCAGCTCAAGGACAATAGGCGTGTTGGGACTAATACGTCGCACCAGTAACACCAATCAATTGACAACATTTCAAATGGCGCAGGTATTGTGTGTTTTGAAATAGCTATATTCTCATTTATTTTTTTCATCGTCCTAGCATGAATGAAATATTTCAAAATGAATTCACTGGTATTTTTTCAGTATAGAGTTCAGGATGATCTCGTTTTAAAAAATCAGTGGTCTCCCCCATTGCATCGAATACTATTTATACACGGAATGATCAATATAAAAGTGGCGTAAATTCGACTATTGTGTACAACCCCATTCAAAAATATTGAAACATACAGTTGGCCAATTGAAAATAACAAAGATGAAGTCATGAAAGTATGTAAAATCATCAGCCACGTTAATACTTAGGGTCCATTGATGTAAATTGACGTATTTGTCATCTTAACAAGGTACAGACAGATACTCGTCTCCTCTCACTCTAAAGTGTTTGTGAAACAGTTATATAGTTCCATCTTTATTCAATTCTGGGGATGAACACTAGATTTCTGACAATTGTTGTTTTTTAGGTTATATTGAGGACATTGGCGTATCATACGTGATTCCCACATGTATTTTTTCTATCAACTCTACATGTTATATCCAAATGATGATGATAATTTACGAGTTTTTGATTTTCCATCTCCAGCATAATCTTTGTGGGGGAGTGAGCAAATTTCTCTGACAGTTCAATACGATTTACCAAATGGGACTGTTTTTAGGCAGTACCTATCAATAAATTAATTTCGATTTCAGACTATGGTGTAAAATTTTATGTAGTTATTCCAACTAATGTGCTGATATGTCATGTGTGCTGTATATATTCATCTTGGGAATCATTTTTGCAGTTTTTCATGAACACTTAATATTTCCTGAATGTAGGGTATACTTTTTTAAATGGTAGGGCATATCCTTTTCTTTTAATCCTCCGTTTCAATCAAAACTGTTTCTACTAAATTGCATTCAAAAACTTGTTAGGCAAAATGATATGTGATTCCGTTTTAGTTTTACCTCGAATATTTTTCTGATGTATTTACCAATTTTCTCCATTTGGTCATTTCACTTTCCATGTTCTAAGTTCATTTGCATTTGATGGAAAGCATTTTACCATCCTTCCAAAACAGAATTGGATAATCTCGTATTAAGATGAATAAGATGAGAGAGTAAGTATGGAATTAAAATTTTGTAAGATCTCTTTCAACGCCTATGAATGTGATGTGACAGCAATGTCATGTCAGGGACGCCAATATACGAAACCAGAGTCACTAGATGATTAAACGAGAAAGGAGCTATGATCTGTCCGTACCTGTTAGATGATAAATACGTCTGTTTGCATCAAGGGAACCTATTAATACCCTATGAATATTTGGTAGGCTTATCAAACTGATCTGAGCAAATCCAGACCAAATTACTTAGTTATCATATGTTTACAATGTGTCTCTAGTTACGGACTTGGTTGGGTTCTGATTGTAATTTTGGGGCTAAATTGTGGAACTTAACTTATATACTCGAATAATGAAATATTTTTTAGTCGCAAAATACAAAATAGGCACAAATCTGATAATCTTGAATGGGATGTTGTTTTAAAGAATCAAAAAACAACAGGAATTTACTTCTTATTCATGTCGAGGCTATATCAAATTGATTACACCGTCTTAGTTATCACACTATTTTAGTCTGGTACATAACCATGCTGAGTACTACAAGTGAACAGTTTTTACCAACTGACCAAGAGTTAGTTACAATAAAGCCATCAGTCAGCTTACCAAGACATAGTATAAACATGGCCAATGTGTATAAAAGTCATTCTTCTTCTCTTATTTGAACCAATTTTCTGTGAGAAAATCAAGGTTGAGAATAATTGATTTCCTGAGGTTTTTCTGACGGTGCACTACTCAAATAGTTATTTATGTATTAAGGGAATTATGAGGGCCTTAATTACCAATGGCAAAGTTTGCGTCCCGAGGGCCTCTGGCCCGAGGGACAGCAATTGCCAGAGGTTATTAAGGCTCTATAATTCCCGTGATACATAGATAATTTTATTTCTGACTGATTTCATTCATTAGATACCTTCCCGATTGGAAGTTAGACATGTTTTTCCGTATAGTTTCAATGTCATCAGAACGTCAGATGATGATCTTGACTACCGCGAATAGGAGATTCCTTATTGATACGTTATTGCGTGGTTGTAGCTATGCATTTCTTATTTAATTTTAGCTAGAGGGAATTATAGCATCTATAACATCCCAAGGGAGTTATGACCCTCCTAATTGATAGTGTAACTAAGATGATATAAGCTTATAATATACCAGTCAGAAATAAAAGGTATTACAAGACGAAAATAAAAAACAAACTCACCGGTATGTATCCGTATGTGTATCTGCTGCGAACTCCTCGACCCGAACGTCTTGCCGCACTCCCTACAAGGGAACTGCCTCCCTCCGGACGCGTTGTTGTGGCTGTGCCGATGGTTCATCAACGATCGGCCATCGGGAAATTCATCGCCGCACGTGTCGCACTGTACGGCCTTGCTGCGGTGCGACAGCATGTGGCGCTTGAGGCGCGCCTTGTTGTGGAACGTCTTCGCGCACTTGCTGCACGCAAACACCTAAAGAAGACGATTTATCATGCGATTTTTTCTTGTTCCTTACGTATTTCCGTCTGAATCACGAATTCGATAGCGAAAATGCAAACAAACCATAATTTATCGAGATACTTCACGAAAAAGTTCGAAAGGACCCCGCACCATTTACATCGAAAACGTGTCTACGGTGAAATTTTGTGAGAATCTAGGATTGGATAGATCAAATCATGCTGAACAAGAAATGTCCTTTGGTCCAAGGTCCGTTATGCCTGTTAAAAAAAGTTATAAGCTCTTGAAGCCAAGCGAGATAACCTCTACCAGAACAGCACATCCTGTGAATAATATGGTTTTGGCTGATATCATAGTGGAAGGAGAAGATGGTGTGCCTACGCGCATATTATGTGACGTCATCTGGGATACCAATATCAGCTGCTAGTCACAGAGAGATACCGTTGCCATGGGCGTGCGCAATAAATTCAATCATGTTCATTGGAATTTCATTAAGTTTCTCGATCTGTTCAGAAATAATTCATTTTATATAAACAGGTAGGTACCTATTCCTTCGATTTTACTATTTCATTGATTCTGGAAATTGTGATCTTGAGGTAATTTGCAATCGCAAATAGCAGACACATACGAATTATCATGCATTGCCAATCCCATCTGAATGATCCACTACTGTGTCGATTCTGACAGATTAAACTTCAGCAGTTAACGACGTTGACGTTGCTTCTGCTCCGACACCGACAACAGGAGTATCAACTTTTGCCGTTTTGTTATTCAAATCTTTGCTGCAATTTATATTTTGTGAGAAATTAAGAGTTTTGAATTCATTTCCAATTATCTTTGACTCGATATTCGGAAGATGTTCTGTAGGAATGGCATCTTGTTTCAAATATTTGTGATTTTTTGGAAGTGTGTAATTCAAGAACTGTACTCTCGCACTTGTTTGGGAACATTTTGCATGGAAATGTTTTGAAGAAATACGGACTGTTATATGAATGTGATGATAATATGATAGGTGAATACTTTGGAATGAGGATATAAGGAATAAAAGGTAGGTACCATTATTTGAGTTTATATTCTGTCGGCAGCAAGCTCCCATCGTTTCATTAGGTCTCCATTCTTGGAAAAGCAGAAAAATTCAATATCTGTGCCTTTTGTATGTTAGTTGGAATTTCCATAACCAGAAACAAAACAAGTAGGCATTTCAAAATTATTTCATTCAATTTTAGTACTTATATAATATCTGAAGTTCGGGACATCAATCACGAAAACAAATAATAACAATGACAGTTTTATATCCCAGCTGACGTCATGCGCAGAACAAGACGAGTTTGAGCTTTCTGTTGAGCACACCCTCTTCTCCTTCCACTATGGCTGATATGATATTTTTGAGTTGTCAGATCGTTGTTTGTCAGATAATGGTCATTCATGATATGTCAGTAAGTCATTGAGCAAAAGCGTATTACTTTGTTCAAATACGTTGCAAGTCTCGACCGGGGACTATTAGTGGCCTGACATGTTCCCGACAAGATTGGGCATTTCCAGGGATAAAAATATTATTTACAATATATACATTGACTCTAGCAACTAATGATAAGTGAAGTAAATAATTATTTGCGCCACAAAATATGCACGCGCTTGCATGGATGGGAAAGACAACATACAGGTTCATAGAATGAACGTTATCGCGAATTCCAAGTTCCTCTATGATGGATCAATTTCAGTTCAGAAATAAACGAGTACGATCGGTTAAGGGTATATCCTTTCTTCCTAGAACCCGATGACTATGTATTGCGATTGCTTGCTGCTCATCATTTTGATCTGGATCGACGCGTGCCAAACCATTAATATCGCCTTCGCTATCGCATATAAAGCAACGAAACCTATTCTGATTAGCCATCATATATTATGTATTAGAACAAAGTAATAGGCTTTTGCTCAATGACTTTTACTGACATAACATGAGTGACCATTATCTGACAACTCAAAAATATCATATTAGCGAAAAAGGATGTGCTGTTCTGGTAGAGGTTATCTCGTTTGGCTTCAAGAGCTTATAACTTATTTCAATGGGCATAACGGACCTTGGACCAAAGGACATTTCTTGTTCAGCATGATTTGATCTGTTCAATCCTAGATTTTCACAAAATTTCACCGTAGACACGATTTCAATGTAAATGGTGCGGGATCCTTTTCAAGTTCTTACCAATTCATATAACTACTACTTACTAGTTGGTTGATCTGTGGCATAGGTGCTTGAAAAACCAAGATAACTCTCCGCAAGATAAGGCATTTCTTGATGTTTATTGAATAACTCGTCGAATGAGGTTAGAGGTGGGTATAAGAGAATGCTTATATCGGCATCATATATGTAGGTGGAAAATCTATACATCATCACCCAGGTGGAAAATCTGGCACAGATCACCCAACTACCCAGATGTGTCATAGCTTTGATGCCGCCTAAAACCGAATTCGTATGCGCATGTGCCAGATTTCCATGGTTACAAGAAGACATTACTTCTACAAAGATAAGTTGACCTCTGCCTAGACCACCCCACTTCAGATGACCGAATAAAAATGATCAGAAATATTCTTATTTTTGAAGCCAAATGAGTATGAGCATGAGTTATTTCTTCCTTATGAATATTCCACAGACAGTCCTAATCCTAGAAATTTTCCGTAATTCTGCCAAGATCTAATTTACTGTCAAGTTTGTACACGAAAATTTCTCATGATCATCAATGATCTTATAACAATATTACATTCCTATTGTAATACTGAAAACTTGAATGCAGATTACTGAAATGAATGAATAATTTTTTTATATTTTCATTTATTATTAGAGGTTATTCTCGAACAGTTTTCTCAACTCTGAGCAATTCTTTGTCTTCGGAAAATGGCGGAGCCACGTTACAAATTGAAGATCGACTCTGATGATGTTATCACTTCTCACCTTTTCTTTTGAATGTTCCCAGGAGTGTTTCAGCAAAGTACGTCGATCTTTGCAAGAACGACCACACAACATACAAGTATTAGGAGGCAAATTTTTCCCATGTTTCGCCTGAAACAAAAAAAATACTATCAATATAACTCGACATACCTATCTGTTACTAAAAAGTTACTAACAATGATGCTACCTGTCAACGAAACTTAGAAAAAGTGAATAAATAAATATGATTCAATATCAAATATGTAACGAAAAGTCAGTTGCAAATATCGGGTAATCAAAATATTGAAAATATTAAATAGCATCTCACAATATAGAATATTCATGATACAATATATAAAAGTTTATTTATTATCGCCCATGATTCCGCAGAACTATCCTCAGCGCATTCGCCATTTCATTAATTAATTTATGTTGACATGTACTTTTTCGTGATTCTTGAATGAATTGCGGTATCTATCTATAATCTGAGGTGAGTTCTAAGGCTGGCAGTAAAAATATAAATCAACTTCTGAAAATTAAATTTGCAAATTTTACAGACATTTTTAAAAAGGCTACCAATGCTACTACCAAGAAACAAAATTGAAAAAGGTGTAGTCTGAGATTATCCCCACCATTAGCGATTTCATTCATTTATCCGAGTTTGGTGTTTAGGATTGTTGACGCATATGTGTAAATGATTTATGAATGAATCTCGGTGTGTATTGTTATTTTGTGTTCGCATACCTGAACGTGGACGGCCAAGGCGCTCTCGTCCGTCGAAATCTCGCCGCAAATCATGCACCGGAAGTCGATCGACCGGGCGTGCACCTCGGCGTGGGCCAGCAGATCGAGCGCCTCCTGGAAGGACTCTCCGCACACGTTGCACACGTGACCGAACTCGTTCTCGTTCACGAACTCCTCCTTCACGTGCACCCGTTGGTGTCTGCGTAGATTGTCTTGCCTGGAAACGAGAAATCAGATCGATGGAAGGCATGATAAGGAACCTTTTAGGTTCATATATTGTATAAAGTAAGTATAAAGATGATGGAAAGCCCTAATTTCGAGTGACAACGGAAAATGAAAAAACTCCACCGCCCCGCGTGAGAGTCGAACTCACAACCTTTGGGTTACATGCCCAACGCTCTGCCAATTGAGCTAACTGGTCATCCGTCGATCAATCGGCAGGAATGTCGAGTTCTCATCACACACCAGGCGGCAGAATCCCTTCAAATCCCAAAGTCACTCGAAATCATGCACTATATGAAGCATCGCTGGCAGGATGGTACTATATAGTCTCCATTTTTCCCCGTTCGTCCTCTGGCATTGTCTTTCCTATGTATACGGAAATGTCGGCAATCAATCTATACATGGAATAGAGCGATGAGTAGAAACTAATTCAAATGTATTAACACTAATCTTAGTCAGGAACTCGTGGAATTTTTAGCAGATGAAGAGGACAAAAAACAAAGCATACTGAATAAAAACTTCCAATTGACCATATTTCCAATGCTCAGACATTTTGTATTGTAAGGTGTCAAATGTCTAATTTGAGTAAAATCGCCACCAATGTGACAACAACAATAATTGTTGTGAAAATATAATAGGAAAATATGTATTGGCAGATGTATCTTACCTATGGAAAGATAATCCGCAAGTGCTGCAATAGAAGGTCCCGTACTTGCTGTCCTCTTCCGAATAGTCTGCATCCTCGTCGTCATCGTAATCATCGAGGTCGCCGTGCTTGTCTTTCATGTGCGCCCGCATCAGCACGGGATCCCAAAACATCTCACTGCACTTTTCGCACTCGAACGGACTGTCACCTTCAGCGTGTAACCTGAAATTCATGACCACAACTTCAGAGATGGGTTTACACCCGGCGCTTTCATTGACGCGTGGTTTTTTTCATTAGATAAGCCCAGGCGTTTTCTGGGCGCATTACATTTACATTTTTTCAAGTGATAACTTTTACAGGCCCGTTAGGTACTTTCCGAGATGGGAGTAAAACGACCGGACTTGCGTTATGGAAGCGCGCGTACTTGCTGTGCACCTGCATACGATGAATTGATGGAAAAACAATCTCAAAAAAATATTTCAAGGTATTCCAGAGCCATATATTTCGAGATATATTTTTTCTAGAGATGACTGGAAAGGCTCATTCAATGGGGGACTTCGCTCCAAGTTGCCAACCTAACAACCTCTAACACTGTGGAAGCAATATTATGGACGTTTGATTACTCAAATAGCTTTATTTTGGTGCAATTTGATTGTAGGCGTCTACTCAGCTTTCTAATGAAAGTTATTCAGAAGAAAAATTAGTTTTCGTGAACTTCAAATCTGCCTGATTGAAAATCATGTTGGTGCATCTGCGATACGTCAATACTGAAATGTCAATACATGTCGATACTTTCAATAGTGTCAGTAGTGCCACGAGTAAAAAATTATTTATCATGTAATGTTCGAATCACGTTCGAACTATTGAATAATGATCAAGAAAATCTCATGAGAAACGTGCAAAGCTATAATAAACTGGATGTGAGGGTTCCAAGTTATCTGGTCTGGTGCTACTCTCGACTCGTCGTAATGGTAATCAACATATTATCATTGTTATTAGAGCAATATTCTTTTTACCTTGTTACATTCTCACTACTGAGATCAATTGAGTTAGAAGGAGGCGAGATGAATCTGAGTTGTCGATTGGATAAAAAGAACACACTTTTATCTGTCAGAAGGGCAAGGGAAGAAAACATAACCTAACATAATTCAACCAAAATGTAAAATGACCGAGGAAATCAATGAGGAGCATAGAAATATTATTTTAGTGAGTATTCAAAGGATTCAACCTGTGGACTGTAACTTCAAAGCTGAAAGCTTGACAAAATGAAAATATAACCTCACAATTTTCAGCACAGAACCACAGAATTACTAGAATTAATCCAGTCTCACCTTTTTCTCACTACAACACCAGATGAATACCAAGCTCAGTTGGGGTGAGGGGAAAGAAATAGTCTCAATAAGTTCTTAAGACAACTCACATCAGACTAAGCTAAATGAAACATGTTATACAACTGAGCTATTGAGCTGCACTGAGAATCTTGGTCAATCTCAGTCAAAGTTGGTAAAAAGAATATTACTTAGGTCTTCATGTTCATTTTTGTTCATTTATATTTCCTCACTACCCAAAATAGGTATATCATGCTATAATAAATATTGTGATATTCGAATTTGATTTCTGCTACCAATAAACTATCTGTCTAATTATTTGAATAAAGGTATCTTATTTTGATATTGTTGTATTCGGACATTTGTGATAATATCGAGCGTATGATTGGATTTTGTGATAGGCATTGGAATATACGCGAAAGGAATTGATGATCATTCCAAACAGATAAGTGTTCACTAAAACACGGGTGTGTTGTTTCGGTGTTCAGTGCTGTGGAAACTTTCGAACAATGAAATAGCAGAAGTTGACTCTTTCATACAAATTCATTTTGTTTTCACGCTAGTCAGTGTTTTTTTCTCATTATTTTATTATACCGCCCTTTTTTTCCTTTGCTTTTCTAGCTATATTCCTGAAATTTAAAGCATCGAATATGCTCACTAGAAGACCCTTTCTCACATTTGAATTTTTTCATCATCCGGTTTTCCTGAAAATTACATCAACTTTTGATTTTCAAATAGGAGACCCTGTATTTTTTCCATAATCGGTTGGGGATTATCATAACGGATATAACGATACCGGATTTGATTGGGTTATTTCGAACGATTTCAAGATTCAGAATTCTGATCACCCTGCATCTGTTCCAATTAAATGTCAGTAAATAGTTAATCAGTGTCAGTTGGTGCTGAAAATATTTTAGAACGCTGTCCTCCTTGAAAATATAGCTGACGTGTTTCAGCGTTTTTATATAATCCGGTTCTGTCGACCAAAAGATCCGCTGTTTCGTTTCCACTGCCCCACCCTGTATATTCTCAAATGTGATATTTTTTCAAGCAAAAATTGTTTGCCTGTATGTCACTACGGTGAATTGTTTCTCGACTTGTATGTTCGATTCGATTTCTCCACTACATACTGTCCAGTTGAATTCTTTCATATCACGTAGATTTTTGTAAAAGATATATTTTCAGCCTGTGGTGAATTCTTTCATAATATCTTGGGAGATTTAAAAAAAACTCCACCACTCTCCGTGTTCAATTCTTCATCTGGTATTTCGTATGCTATACAGGGTGTTTGGTTCACCGACGTATATCTGAAAGGGACATTTCGAATATATTTAACCATATAAAATATTATACAAAGTGATACGAACTTTATAGATATCTCCGTTTGGTCGAAAATTTCATCTGATTGTAATTTCTTCTTCTTCAAGAGTTGGATAATATGATTCTCATAGATATTGAACAAGTAATGGGATGTCAGAATTTTGAAAACGAGTTTCTGTAACATACAACTTCGTATTTTTTACAGCGAGGATTTCTTTAAAAATGTAACACTTTGTATAACAGAAAATATATTTAAATATTTTCAGAATCACATCACATACCACCCAGATACACGTCGGTGAACCAAACACCCTGTAAATATTTCCCCCCGTATAATTTCATTATCATCATTACTCATAGACTCGATCATAGATGAATCATTTGTTCGGAAATTAATCTGTTAGCAGCGTGATTCATCTTATTAGTCTTTCATTCGGGATTAGTGGTTAATCAAGACAGTCTCATATTAGATGTCATCACGTACGGACGAATTTTGTGACAGGCATTGAAAAATACGCGAAAGGAATAATTGGTAATCATTTTAAACAGAGTTTTCACTGAAAAATAAGTGATAGTATGGTGTTTTTGTGTTTCTCATTCAGATCAGTGATAACATAATCGCGATCGTGTGTTGGACTATTTTATAATTCATTTTGTTTTCACACTGGTGAGTGTTATTTTCATTATTCTATTGTGAGTGATATACTGACACAGATTCATGGTATAACCCCATTTCTCATTTCTTTTTCTAGCTATATTCCTGAAATTTTAAAAATCGAATATGCTCACTAGAGGGCACCTTATCACATTTAAGGATTTCTTTTTCATCGTCCAGTTTTCCTGTTTTCACGATGAGCGTTAATTTGACGGATCTAAAAATTTGATTATATGTATGAATTTACATAATCTACACGTCTAATATATTTCTAGCGATGCGGCGTTGCCGCTTCTACTAGAAAGTAGCAGCAACTTCGAGTTTTAAAATGGAACACCCTGTATTGCATTTATTTATATATTTATATTCTCCATGAAGATCGTATTTCATCAATACATCACTCTTGGGGTCTAGCGGGGATGATTACAGAGATATAGTGTTCAAAATCGAGATTCCTCAATTTTAGGATTCTTTTGTGTCAAAACGGCTTCTATGTCCCTGTCTTAATTTTTGATTCACTATTTACTGACATTTGATTGGAACAGATACAGGGTGATCAGAATTCTGAATCTTAAACCACCTTGTAGTTTTTCCAATTAAATGTCAGTGGATAGTGGATCAATAGTTATAAAAGGAACACGTAAGCCGTTTTGTCCGATAATGAATACTTTCGACACAAAAATATCCTAAAATTGAAAAATCTCTATTTTGAACACCCTATATCATTGTACTCACCCTTGCTAGACTCCGAGTGCGATACATTGATGATATCTGATCTTCAGGGATAATCTAAAAATGCAATGGAATACAGGGTTTTTCACTTGAAAAATCATAGTTGCTGCTACTTCCTAATAGAAGCGGCAACGCAGCAGCGATTAAAATATTGTATACGTTTATATCATGCCAATGTATTCATACCATCAAATTTTCAAATTGATATTTTGCTTGGTTTGCCAGAAACGTCTGATTAACCCTCATCGTGAAAAACCCTGTATATATTTCTCCCCCGTATAATTTCATCATGATCATTAGTAATAGATGAATCGATTGTTCGGAAATTAATCGGTTAGCAGTATGATTCAACCTATAAGTCATTCATTCGGGACCAGTAGTGAATCGAGACAGTCCCATATTAGATGTCATCACGTACGGTAGGATTTTGTGATAGGCATTGAATCGTAATTGTCATTTCCAACACATTGTTTACTGAGAAATGCGTTTACATTGCTTTCCCAAAGTACTCAATGAATTCTTTTTCCGTCGACCTCTACAAAAAATCACATTTTACGTTCTAATTTCCGAACTAAAAACCAGCTTTTTCCGAAGGCAAGTACTTTTCGTCCGCAGACACCAACTTTTCTTCCGCAGACACTATTTGTCCGCTGCAGGGTTGCCAGTTCTACTGAATTTTCAGTAAATTTCCTGATTTGCAAATTGATCTATTGATCCACTGGAACATTGCATGACCTACTGATACAATATTTTGACACTTATTTATTATTATAATTACCTATATTATTATTAATTTCAAGTAATCACATACACCTAAAAATTGCATGATATTTTGGCAGGCTCTGTTTAAATTAATTTTACAAAATAAGTAATAAATGTACATATAGGTACTAATGATAAATATGTATAAATGAGAAAAGGACAATACTTCATCTGATTCAGATCAAATTCAATTATTTATATACCTTTGTTATAACAGTTTGTTTTTTACGTTTATTTTTTTTGTATTCTTTATTTTCATTTTCACTATACGTTCCTATTCTTTATATAGGTACTCAAATATTAATCATAAGCACCAATGTAACTGTATTTTGTAATATTTGTTAGTATTTTTAAATAGAGAATATTCTTTATGAGAATGTTTCTTTAGTTTGTTTCCATTTTGTTGGAAATAGAATTCTTTTCTGTATACTAAATGTACATAATGTTGTGACGTCATGTCATGGGTTCATTTCATTATCCTTGCTTGGAATTTGTATAGCATAAAATATACCTGAATTTTCTACAAAGTAGTAGAAAAATAGCACTGGCAACACTGGTCCACGCGGAGAGTGAGTTGACAACAACTGTTATTTGATGTTGTCAAATTGATTATTCACGAAGAACTAAGTGTTTGAGGCCAACGAAAGAATGTAATATGCACCTCGGCGAAAAACTGTCTATTGTCTCGCCTGATTACTGCAGATTTGACTATATTAGACAGGTTTTCGTCCTTGGTACATAAATAACTATTTAAGCCAAACTATCCATTTCTGAGGAATCTCCTGAAACAGGTCGATTTTTATTTTCAATTTGCCACATTCAAAACGAAAAATGGCATATACAGGGTGGTCCACTTTGAGTTAAGGAAACCGCGACAATTTTTTCTAATGAATCACCCTACATTTTATTTGATTTTTGGAATCACCGTGATTTGATTTTTTATTTGATTCGATGTTGCAATCCAACTACGAACGTTGCAGAAAAATATTTAAGTAATGTTCTAATTCAACATCCATGTACTGCATCTAATGATAATTATTTTTGATTCATATGATTCGATATTTGATGTCTAGTTGTAGATCCGAGAAGCACAGTGTTTGATACTTGACACAAAATCCGAGAAAACCATCCAGTCAAGCCGAACCGAAGGAACGATCCACAAAGAAAAAAGACCAGAAAATACTTCTCTGAATTCAGACCACCATGTTCGTGAGGTAGGCGATATATTGATTTGTTTCCCAGATTCTCAAGCAAACAGATAGACATATATTAACCATTATGTCTCTATGGAAACAACGAGGGGAGAGTAACCAACTTTGCGTTCATAAACTCTCTCTGCAAAGGGGGTAGGCGCTAGATGGGTTAGGTATATACAGTGTTTTTCATCGCAGAGAAAATTGTTGCTTATCTGCCTGCCTCGTCTTCATTGAGATAGTTGATTAATTAATAAATTACAAAAATATAACGCATTCCAGTTACGAATGTTGAAAACGATATGCAGACTCTTTATTCCATGTTCGTCTCACGATACAAATTTCAAATTAATACTTAGTTTTAGGTCCGAGCAGCACAGTGTTTGGGATTCCAGGTCTTTATTATAAATCACGTTAAGTGGAAATGTGGATGAAGCCTACTGAGGAAACTTCTATTCGGAAACAAAACTTATATGTTGCAATCCAACTACGAACGTTGCAAAAATATTCAGGGGAGTTTCTAATTCAACATCCATGTATGTACAGCATCTAATAATGATCATTTTTGATTCATATGATTCGATATTTTATATGTGATGTACAGTTGCAGATTCGAGAAGCACAGTGTTTGATACTTGAAACAAAATCTGAGAAAGCCATCCAGTCAAGCCGAACCGAATTAACCATCCACAGAGAAAAATGACCAGAGTATACTTCTTTAAATTCAGATCACCATGCTCGTACGGAAGGCAATATATTGACTCTTTTCCATATTCTCAAGAAAACAGATAGACAGATATTCACCTTTATGTCTCTATGGAAACACGACAGGTACCCTTACGAGGGGAGAGTATCAACTCGGCGTTTATAAACCCTCTCTGCAAAGGAGGTAGGCGCATAGTGGGTTAGGTATAAACAGTGTTCTTCATTGCAGAGAAAATTGTTGTTTATCTGCCTGCCTCGTCTTCATTGAGATAGTTGATGAATTACAAAAATATATCGCGTTCCAGTTACGAATGTTGAAAACAATATCCAGACTTTTCATAGATTTATAATCTATGTAGGTCTCACGATTCAAATTTGAAATTGATCCTTAGTTTTAGATCCGAGCAGCACATCTTTTGGCATGCAAGGTCCTTAATATAACCCACGTAATTGAAAATGTGGAAGATACCTACTGGAAAAACCACTACTCGGAAAGATAGCGGATATGTAGCAATCCAGTTACGGACGATGAAAATATCATTCAGGTATGTCTCAGTTGAATGTACTTCAATTAATATGTGATGTTTAGTTGCAGATCCGAAAAGCAGTATTTGATACTTGCCACTCAGTCGGAGAAAACCATCCAGTCAAGACGAACCGAACAGAAGATCCGCAAAGAGAACTGACCAGAGAATACTTGACAGAATTCAGATCCTTATATTCGAACGGAAGGCGATATATTGATATCCTTTCCAGATTCTCAAGCAGACAGATAGACAGATATTCACCTTTATGTCTCTATGGAAACACGACAGGTACCCTTACGAGGGGAGAGTATCAACTCGGCGTTTATAAACCCTCTCTGCAAAGGAGGTAGGCGCATAGTGGGTTAGGTATAAACAGTGTTCTTCATTGCAGAGAAAATTGTTGTTTATCTGCCTGCCTCGTCTTCATTGAGATAGTTGATGAATTACAAAAATATATCGCGTTCCAGTTACGAATGCTGAAAATAATATCCAGACTTTTCATAGATTTATATTCTATGTAGGTCACACTATTCAAATTTGAAATTGATTCTTAGTTTTAGATCCGAGCAGCACATTTTTTGGCATACAAGGTTCTTAATATAACCCACGTAATTGAAAATGTGGAAGATACCTACTGGAAAAACCACTATTCGGAAAGATAGCGGATATGTAGCAATCCAGTTACGGACGATGAAAATATCATACAGGTATGTCTCAGTTGAATGTACTTCAATTAATATGTGATGTTTAGTTGCAGATCCGAAAAGCAGTATTTGATACTTGCCACTCAATCGGAGAAAACCACCCAGTTAAGACGAACCGAACAGAAGATCCGCAAAGATAACTGACCAGAGTATACTTTACAGAATTCAGATCCTTATATTCGAACGGAAGGCGATATATTGATATCCTTTCCAGATTCTCAAGCAAACAGATAGACAGATATTCACCTTTATGTCTCTATGGAAACACGACAGGTACCCTTATGAGGGGAGAGTACCAACTTTGCGTTCATAAACCCTCTCTGCAAAGGAGGTAGACGCTAGATGGGTTAGGTATATACAGTGTTTTTCATCGCAGAGAAAATTGTTGCTTATCTGCCTGCCTCGTATTCATTGAGATAGTTGATTAATTAATAAATTACAAAAATATATCGCATTCCAGTTACGAATGTTGAAAACAATATGCAGACTCTTTATTCCATGTTCGTCTCACGATTCAAATTTCAAATAGATACTTAGTTTTAGATCCGAGCAGCACAGTGTTTGGCATTCCAGGTCTTGATTATAACCCACGTTATGTGGAGATGTGGATGAGCTCTACTGCGAAAACTTCTATTCGGAAACAAAACTTCTATTTTGCAATCCAATTACGAACGTTGTAAAAAATATTTAGGTAAGTTTCTAATTCAACATCCATGAACCGCATCCAATAATCATCATTTTTGATTCATATGATTCGATATTTGATATGTGATGTTAAGTTGCAGATCTGAGAAGCACAGTGTTTGACACTCGACACAAAATCCGAGAAAACCATCCAGTCAAGCCGAACCTAAGAAACGATCCACAAAGAAAAATGACCAGAGTATACTTCTCTAAATTCAGATCACCATGTTCGTACGGAAGGCGATATATTGATTTTTTTCCAGATTTTCAAGCAAACAGACAGATACCCTTACGAGGGAAGAATACCAACTTTGCGTTCATAAACCCTCTCTGCAAAGGAGGTAGACGCTAGATGGGTGTTTTTCATCGCAGAGAAAATTGTTGCTTATCTTCCTGTCTCGTATTCATTGAGATAGTTGATTAATTAATAAATCACAAAAATATATCGCACTCCAGTTACGAATGTTGAAATTATATATTTTACAATATTTTTGAAGTTTTGAACTCAAGAACTCAACACTTTATGTACAATAATTATTCGAGGACCACCCTGTATATAATGAACCCTAATAAATATGAATGAATATAACTCGGGTAGCCACCAAATCTTCAAACTTCAAATTATATAGAAGTCAAGATTTTCTCAATGTCTCGGCAATCATATGCCCGAAATAACCTTTCGCCAACGAACTATAAGTAAGATTTTATTGGGTCTCAACACCAACAAAGCTTGTGGCTCCGACGGAATCCCACCGATTGTTCTCAAGAAATGTGCTCCCGAACTAACAGCTATTCTCTACAAACTTTTTTATGATGCTAATATTCCTTGAACTGTCAATGCCCATAGCCTACCTTGTATGTGACAACATGGCTTTTTCTCTTGCAAAACCGACTCCGCAATGTTGGCAGACGAAGGGCTTCTTGGGATCCGTGATCGGAAAACGGTGCTCCAGGTCCTCGGATTGCACTCCCTGTTGATCATAGTCGAAATCATTTTTGATGTTGGCCTTGGCTATAGGATCCATGATTTTCTCTTCATGGTCCACGTAGTTGTACCCCCGAGAGCTTGATGCCTCTGAAAATTTCCGAAAATTTGATATAACGAAGCCACCAACATAAATTTTACTGAAAATAAACGAGAAAGTTGAAGAAATACTCAACTCAAGACGTCACGAGAAAAATTATGGTATTGAAAATACTATTAATGTTTCTTTATAGATCCGGAAAATAAGAGGTAATTATTTGAACTTTTGCTTTGGAACACATCGTTCACAAATCGGAATGGATCAAGGTTTTTTTCATGACCCGGAAGCAGCCAAGTTTTTCATCTTAGTTTTCCGATTGAAAATACTATTGATGTTTTTTTATAGATCCGATAAAAGAGGTATTGATTTGAACTTTTGCTTTGGAACAGATCGTTGACAAACCGGAATGGATGAAGGTTTTTTTTCACGACCCGGAAGCAGCCAAGTTTTTCATCTTAGTTTTCCGAAGAGTTGAAACAATCTTCATAATACCTGTTTTTTGTTGAACAAAACTACCAAAATACTTGAAATATTTTTCACCTGCTTCCGCTTCAAATTGATCAAGTTCCTCTTTGATCTTTTTCTTCCTGCGTTTCACCACTTTGGCTTTCTTCTTCTTATCGTTCTGGGCGAACTCTTCTATAGTATGCAATCCATCGTCCTCCAAAGCATCCCCTTCAGGAATATAAGCGTGAATCTTCGAAGGGAAAAAGGATGTAAGTCAACTGTTTGAAAACACAAGTTTTGATCTGGGTATGAAACAGGTTAGAAAAATAATTGACAGGACATTGATTGTTACTGTTGTTTGACAGTGACTTGCACCTTGCCGACTTGATGAAATATTTTCAATTTACATGTGAAAATAGTTCAGTAAACGAAAAAAAAAAGGAGACAAAAATCGTGAAGCTGCAAGGATGATAAGGGAACGTTTGAAGCTCGATTTTTTTCAATTGTTCCAAATGCCTTGTGTTAGAAAAAGGATTAAAATCGTTTCAGAAACTTGAAAAGGCTACACCGTTAACGAAGTTATAGCATACACAGTGAATGGACGCGGTGTATGTTTGGTTTCCTATGCAGCAATCGTGCGTTGATAGACAAATTGATCATTAATAGGAGCGACATTAACGATATTAAGAATAATAATGAAGTACTTTATTGATCATATGTTGGTGTGAACATATACAGTATAGTTTATGCAACGTAAGTTGGAAAAACACATCACCACAAGCCGTCGGTCCCTCTGAAAGTTCAAAGAGTGCGGCAGCGCGGCCCGACATACGTTTGATGATCTGTTCAACTGACTGCATAAACTATTCGATATAATCAATTGGCCATCGAGCTGAGTCCTTCAGCCAATATGTTTTATCTCTTTTTTTTTAGATGTTATTTCCTTTGAGTAGTGTGAGTAAGTGAAAACAGTTTTTGTTACGAAAGAATACAAGATGATTTTAGGTAAGTAATTAACACTATGGAATTTCAGTTAGATAACATTGGTCCTTTTCAGAATCAGTGGAGTTATCAGATTCATGTTCTCGGGCTTGGAGGCAAATTTCTTGAACAGTGTCGGTAGTCTTTCCTGTAGCTTTTGCACCTTGGCTGGATGACGCATTCTACTGATGGTTCGTTGTGCGTAAATCTCGGCGATTTGCAGGTTCTTGATTGCGCGATTTCTTAAGTTCAGGTATAGAGGGTGGCCATATTCTGATATTGGTCTGCAGATTGATTTGTGGATTCCACTTGCAGTGCTGATGTTGATGCCATGGTCTCTATATTTTAATGATTTGAAATGCTTTGCTCTTCCTTTAACTTTATTTTTTGCAATTGCTGTGTGTTTATTAAAATTCAGCTTATGGTCAAGATGGACCACCAAATATTTTACAGTGAAGCGTGGATGGATTTGATGATTATTAAATACCATACCATTTTTTTTTTTTATTTAGCTGAATAGCTAATTTGTACATTGCACTTTACACTAATATATGTGAGACAGTTCCTCCATTATCTTAACCTAATATCCATGTAATCGTGGCAGTAACAATATTATATATATATGTTATTTTCAATAAACGTTTGAAGGAAATTATGCTTTCTGCGTCTTTTATATTTTGATCCAGTCTATTATATATTGATAATGATTGATAGTGGGGGAATTGATGGATGGGGTATGGTTGAAAATTATCATTTCCGTTTTCAGAGGGTTGATTTGAAGTCTCCATTTGTTGAACCAAGTATGGATTTGTTTTTTTAATTGTTGAAGTTGTTGAATGGCGGCAGTTTTGGTTCGCTGATGTGATATTAATGCTGTATCATCTGCATATTGTGAATCATTAACGATCTATTTCATAAACACTAAACTTACTTGTTAATAAAAGGTCAACGGTAAAAATACATTACTCATTGAAAACAACGATATTGATTGTAACTTATGCATAGATCAACCCGTCACAGTCCAGATATTTAGCCGTCATTGCATAGATCAAGCAACGAAGTACATTTTATTATTTATTTATAAATATAATTTTATTCTGCGAATATGAGGAAAGAAAATATCCTATCTACACAAGACCTAACTTGGCCAAAATGAACATTCTTCCTAAAAAGTATATTTTTCGGGCAATTACTATTATTGAGAACAAATAGTCTGACCTAACAAAGCCACAGACAAGGCCTAAGTGAACATTCTTTCTATAAAAAATATAACGGAAAACTTGAGATTTCTTGAATTTAAAAAAAAACTAATCTTCGGAGGACTGAATCGAGCTCATTAGTTGTAGTGAAGTCTTTTATTGTATACACATATTACATTACAACACAAAATTACATTTCACATTCAGGAAAGCAAGACATCTTGTTAGGGCTCGGAGCTCTGTGATGGGTCCTCCGCGTGGTGCAGAGGTGGCTGGTGTTGGCCAGGGAATGTGCGTGTATTTGTGAATTGTGAAGTGTTAGTCTCAGAGGCCTTTCTCCTGGGGCCAAGCCCTTTATATATAGGTGATCTCACTGAGGTTACCCAAGAGGGTGGGAGAACTGATCAGTCGCTATCAGTGGTGGGTGGTTTGTAGGGGGTTGTGCTCACTGTGGCACGGACTCACTTATGCATCTCGCCCACTGCCAGCAAACAGCGACAGACTCGTTACCAATCGTTAAGTTACAGACATAAACTAAAAATTACGTCGGTAACTTATTATTACGTGTTCGGCTTCGCTCGGAAATTCGATTGTCGTTTTATGTCTGTAACATATGAATATGCATGCCGCACACCAACGAGCATGAAAATCCAGTTTTTCGGCACCCACATCGTCCCCAACATCTTGCCAACAAAACATCGGCAGAAGGTGCTGTTCAGTATCACTTCATGTGCTACTGGGTCTTTGGTTGGCACTGGGATGAGCGATCCTTCCCCCTCCATTTTTTTATTCAGCTGAACGTAATCGTAGGGAATCCTGTGACGTTAAAGGTTGTAGCTCTGAATGTCCTCTCAGAACTAATTTAATTGAGTCAGCGCTGATATACTATTTTTGGAAGATGAATGAACACCATGTTTTTTGCAATAAAGAGTTCAGAAGCTTAAGTAACCTAATTTCATGAAGGAATTTGGAGGCCAAACCATTGTCTATCTGAATTAAGAAGATGGTGTAGGAATTGGAGGCAATATTATACTTATTCCCTCCTACTAGTTTATTCAATTAGATACAAAATTATATATGTTAAAATCATGAAATTTCTTTCTACAACATCAGGAAAAAAATTTAGTAGGGACTTCAGTGGCGTAAACAAAACTTTTTTGACGTCGGTTTGAAATCAAACAGTCAAACTTGAAGGCATAACGAATTTCTGAGTCGTAAAATGTCAAGAGGATTCTGGATATATACCCATTTATGTCTCTATGGCGTCCAGGCGCCATTTGGAAAAACATATAGATAGAGCGAAAATCTTCATAGGTGTACACCCCAAAAATCTTCCAGTCCAAAAATACATAATTTTCATCAAAAACAAAAGTAGGTAGCACTGGAAAAAAATTCCCAGTTGTTTAATAGTCAACACTTTATGGACACAGTGAAATTCAAGTTCGATAATAATAATCGTTCTTTATTGAATTGAATACAATCATTACTTAATTCTACTGGCTATTGACCTAGATCCTTCATCCATTGAGTATATTTGAAATTTATTTATTACCAAGTTAAAAACAGTTCGTTTTACATTTCCATGGTGGTACACTATATATTTTTTCAATTTGTGTGTGACCAATAGTTTGTTCACATAACAGCTAGTCTTTTTACAATTTTACAAATAAAATACAATGAATTTCTCAAGTTCTTAGTCTAAATATAAATCTAAAAACAAAAATATACTAATATGTGTTTAGAAACGAGATTTGGTATTCAAGCCTAGTCTTGGAGAAAAGAAGAAAAAGTTGACTTATTGGGAATTACAAAGATATGATGAACAGTCAAGACTATCCATTGGTGAATCTTTTTTTTTTTACATTTTAATATGGTTTACCTTTGATTTCTAATGGTAACAGGATGAATAGTTTTGGACCAATATAGGAGATATGTTTTTGGGTGGCCGAGAATCTATTAATTGATATTGTCACATTGTTATTCTGTGCTGCTCTAGTGGTATTGTGAAAATTATTTTTTTATATTGTGTATTTTTCAACATGAATCTAATAGTTGCTTTTACGAATAACTGCCATATAATTGCCAGGACTTCCGCTGCTTCCTAGAATAGTTGTTCTGAAGGAAATGTTCTTTTTTTCCCAAGCATGGTTTTTAATAGATATTTTTGAGATATACATAGTGGTGACAGTATTGTTGGACATGCTGCTCCCCAGATAATAATTGCATAGTTTAGAATAGACTCAGCCAATGCTAAATAAATTACTTTGAGAGTTTTCAAAGGAAAAATTTCTTTCAGTTGATAAAATTTACATATGAGTTTTCTTATAATTAACATGAACATCCCACTCGAGGTTCTCATCTATATATATATACCAAGGCATTTAGTGCTTTCCTGTCTTTTTATTAATGAATTGAAATTACAGTAATCATCAAACTGGCATGCATTCTCATGAATTATTAAAGTGTTTTTTATTGGTGTTAGTCTTTTATTCATTGAAAAACATATGAAGTGGGTTTTTTCAGTATTCAAGGTGAGAAGGTATGCCTCCAACCACTCTTCAACTTTTGCCATAGCCAGTTCCGTTTTTTTTCAAGTTATGTCCCATGAATCTCCCCTGATTAAAATGACGGTATCGTCAGCATAGCAGACCATGTCACCATCATTTGATAATGTAGTCAAACTATTTACATATATGGAACACAAAATCGGGCCTAGAACAGTCCCTTGTGGCACACCAAACTCCACTGGAAGTGAGTTGCTCATAGTATTACCAATTTGTGTACGACCTGTTAGATATGATCTAAATAGGTCGTTTGTCAATTTTTTTTTATCCTCCGATTCCTTTTTTTCTTTAATTCTTTCAATAGAGTTTGGTGTGACACTGTGTTGAAGGCTTTGGCAAGGTCCAAAAAGATGCCTAGGCATCTTTTACCTTGCTAATCATATACTATCAGTCCTACTTGATTTTTCAAAATAATCACTAAAGATTGTAAAAAAAGTTTATACTTATTGTCAAGTTGAAATTGTTATCAAGTTCAAATGATCCAAAAAAGAATTGATTGTTACCTTGAGATGGTTCATGAGATCGCACTTCCTGATGTACCGCACGCCGCACAAGTTGCACCCGTGCGGCCTGTCCGTCTGATGGGCGACCATGTGGTTCATCAGGTTGGCCTTCTTGCGGAACCGACGGCTGCAGAAATCGCACGGATAGGGCCGCGCGGCCGTATACTCGTCCTGATCGGTGGGAAGAGGCACGTCGCATTCCGCCGTTTCAGTTCCGTCAACTGCCTCCTCAGAACCGACCACTAACGGAAAATGAACAATAGGAATTATTCGCCAAATCGGTTGAAAGGGAATTTGTACTGAAGATGATTCTAATAGGTTTGGTTTAAAAAGATGTACAGAGGGAACATCTCAGATAAAATTACTTTTAAGTTGATGCGGCTAGATTCGCACGGCTAGAGTCGCGCGCCTGTTTACTATCTTGGTCGAAGAAACCGGTCAAAATAACTTGAAATGAATGATAATGAATAGATATTTTTAGGCACCTGGTCGGAAAATCATCCTTTATAGGATTTCAAGTCCATGAAGTATTTCTTCATAATTCCAGTATGATGAAATTTACTTGACCTGACTTCACCTTTTTCTAATTCAGAAAAAATAAGATGTGGTTCATCAGGTTGGCCTTCTTGCGGAAGCGGCGGCTGCCATCAACTGCATCCTCAGAACCGACCACTCACAAAAAATGAAAGGAAAAACTCATTCGCCAAACCGAAAACCGGTTAAATAAAGATATTTTGTGAATTTATTGTCAGCTTTTTCGGCTTGCCAAGCCTCATCAGCAGCAATAGATCAGCTGGCAATCGATTCACGAATCACAAAGCACAAAGAGTACCTCCATATATGCTACAAATCGAAGCGAAGAGGGGACAGATCTAGCCTTCAGAGCCATCTAGTGGCTCAAGTGTTGAGGTGTATAAGTAGATTGTTAGATAAAATGACATTTCAGCTGATGCGACTAGCGTCGCACGGCTAGAGTTGCGTGGCCGTGTACGGTCCTGGTCAAAGAAATCGGTCAAATAATAATTATTATTGAGCACCCAGTCAAAACAAAATCCCATCAAGGATTTTTAGTCTGCAAAGTACTTTACAATTCACAAATTTATTTGATCTGACCACATTTTTTTCTATTATGATACAAAAAGTAAAAGGTGTGGTTCATCAGGTTGGCATCTTCACGAGAGTAGTGAATGCAGAAGTCACATGATGCAGTATGACAAAATATTTTTTTCATCACATATGACGTTCCATCGTTTATTAGGACATCCTCAGGAGGTGCATCACAAATAGATATTCTTCACATAATTCCAATATTTTATTTGGACTTTGAAGAAACATAACTAACTCATAATAAAGTTTATTCAGAATGTTGACATAATATTAATTGAAAGTATACATATTGGTATTGAATAAACAAAGAAAACCTAACAAAGTATAACTTGTTGTAAGGTTTATAAAATAAAAATTATGGTTATTAAATCAATTGATTAATTCTAGACAGAAGTAATTTACAAATAAAAAATGTATTGTTTTTCTTTCAATCATTGGGTATAAGAACAATTCAGTACTGTTTCAAATTTCATATATATAGATATTAAATATTAACCAGAGAAGCAAATGAACTCCTTGAAGAGACTAATACCTAATTTTTCATTTCAGTTTTGTAGCAATAAAATGATTTGACTTTTTTAATATCACATGGAATTTCATCATACAAATAAGGAATCAAATATTTATAATTTCTTTGTCCAATTGTTTAATTAGATTTATATTTCAATTTTTTGTTTTTGTTTCTTATATCATAGGTATTTTTTTTTTATTTAAAATCATTTCTGTTTTTGAACATGTAAGTTGATAAACAATAAATTGCTGATTTATCAATCTTTTGGGATTCTTTGTATAACAGGTCAGTTGGAAATAATTAATCTATTCCATAAATTAGTTTTAAAATCCATTTTTGAATAACATTCCAATTTTTTCAAATATGATTGATTTGATAAATGGCATTGAAAAGAATTGTTATACAGGGTAACATCAAATCACTAACAAAATTCTGAATTCATCTATCTGAATAAAAAAATAATTCAAGTTTGTTGTCACATATATATTTAGCAAAATTCGGAAAATTTCACAAATTAAACAACTGTATTTTCATGCCCCTGAAAAATATTTTAAAATCTGCTATGAAATCAAATAGAAAATAAAAAAGAATGTAACTCATGTAAAACACTGGTCTATATATAGATAATTCAAAGGAAGATGATTTTTTCAACTTCCAATTGGAATACTCACCTATCTCTTCTGGGCAGCTCTCTCCCCATTGGTCAGTGATGACTTCTTCTGTTACATCACACTCCATCAGATTTTCTTGGTGGAACTGTACTGGCTGTTCATTCTCCTCCAACATGTTACCATCAGTAAGGTACATAATGGGTGCATCACTCTGTACAACCTAACATAATGAATGGATAGATTAAAAATGATTTTTTCAACACAATATATATTTATATTTTCTGATAGGGCACTTTCTTGGGTACTTTTGCTGTTAACTATTTTCTCAACTATTTCATCCTAAGAATGAATTGCACAGCTTATTGAGAATGCCATTCTCTGTATAAATTAGGTCAAAAGTAAAGTAGACACAGCAATAAAAAATTCAAAAGGATCACCTCTTCGGATGCTTCTACAACTTCCTCAACTACTTCTTCTTGTACTCCTGTGAATTCTTCAGACTCTGCTGGGAGGATTTCATTTTCGATTCCACAGATGACCTCTTCCGCCTGAACAACGGTAGTTGAATCCTCCCATGTCAACCCAAAAGACTCTTCCATGTTTCAAAGTGGATCTGGCATTCTTTCAACTAAAGAGAAATAGCTAATTAGCTTGGGAAAAAAGTGTTTAAATATATGAAAGAACATTATCAATGCATGTGATAAATTTGATCACAATTGTATTCTTTTATCACCACAAATGAGATGAAGGGAAAATCTATGCTGCTAAAAATAGCACTATTTTGTTAGAATTCCTCCTACTTCCAAAGCCAAAGCAATGCTTAATTGCTGTGAAATAAACAATAAGACACACCCAAACAGACGTCTTTAACCCCATTATGGAAAAATGTGGATGACAAAAGTAATAGGATCACCAAGGGCTGAAAAAAAGTTGAGTAAAAACACTAAAGGAAAAAATGGACTTGGCCCAAAAGCAATTTTAAGGTTATCGATATTTTGACAAGTGAGGTTATGCAAAAATTGAGGTTATCCAAGAACAAAAATTTTGAAAAATGTAAACAGAGTAAACACAAAAATTGGGCGAAAATTTGTCCTACAAAAACTGATGAATCATTGCGGGCGGAAGTTCGTAAGTGTTCGTTATGCGTTGTCGAATTACATTACTTCCATTATGGACGAATTCACTTTTAAAAGAAAGGAAACGTATAATTACATCACAAAAAGGATTACAAGAAATAAAAAAATCTAGGAATCTTCAATTTCGAGAATAATTATGCAAAACTGTCTGTTCTTTTATTTTAAAGATAAATATGGTACTTACAAGATTTTTTTCACAAATTTTGGTAACCTAACCAAGCTTTATAAAACTCAGACGTCGACCTTCATTTTTCATTTTGCTTCTCTGGCAAATGGCCGCTCGTCTGCTGGTTCCTCTGTTGTTGATATTTCATCAATTTACACAATTTTTTTACAAAATTACCATCCACCTCTAAGGTTAGTATATAAAAATATCGTATTTTCACTTACTGAGAAAGAAAATGATAGGTTGATTTGAAATGGTTTTCGATTTCTAAAATTTTAGAGGAAAAATAGGTTAACAAATAAATAACCTACAACTTCTCGACGACCGCCAAAACAAATGCCCACTTCCGGTTGTTCGACAGCGGGAAGTTTGAAATTCAAGGATGAGCACTTTCGGCGGGAAAATTCAAGAATACCCCGAAATCAGCGTCGACAGATTCGACAAGGAAAATGTACACTCTACAGCTTATTTCTTGTCTCATTGCCACACCGATCATATGGTAGGGTTGAGTAATTTTCATTTTCAAGAACAAATGGTAGAAAAATTCAAATACTTGTATGCATCACAAATAACTTGTGTGATTATTAGCAAAATGTATCCTTATATCAAAAGGAACCTCAAAGAGCTTTCTTTATATAGCCCCACCACTATTCATCTCAAGAAATGTGCTTTCTCTGTAACTCCAATTCCTGCAGGGCACTGTCCTGGGTCAGTTATGTTTCTTTTTGAAGGAGAAAAGTGTGTTTTGTACACAGGAGATTACAGAATCAATAAGAATGATATACCAAAATTCAAGCCTTTTTATGATACCTTTGGTAGAAAAAAGGCTATCCATAAGATGTATTTGGATACAACATTTTTCTCTAGAAAATATCCATATTTTCCAAGACGAGATGAAAGTCTAAGAGAATTATGCAAAATTATTAAAGAGTGGACACAAAGTGGGAAGCAGTTCATCATAAAGCTCAATACCAGTGCAAAATATGGTTATGAGTACCTTTTCAATGAAATTTGGAAACAAACAAATATGTCTATTCATGTAAGTGAAGATGTATACAATTTTTACATGCTTGTACCTGAAATGGACAAATCTGTTACTCTAGATGGCTCTACAACACAGATACATTGCAAATGTAACTATCCAGATATTTGTGATTTTAAGTTGGACAGTTTTGTCAAACCAATAAAAATATCAGCTTTTCGCTGGACTGAAGAACAGTTAAAAGAAGGGTTATCAAATTGTGAGACTGAAACTCATTATGTCTGCTATTCAACTCATGCTTCTTATGAAGAAGGAGTTCATCTTATAAGGTTCATTAGGCCAAAAGAAATTGAAGCTTGTGTAAAACATGATGATCCTAATTTCAATAAAGAAATGTTGAAGCTTATTGATGATCTTTTGGAAGAAATTAATGAGAACCAAGTAGATGAGAGGTTGACACCAAAGTTATTTGATGTTGAAGCAGTTGGGGGTAAGAAACCAAAGAGAAAAAATACTTATGATAAGTCCTGTGATTATTTGAATATAATGGATTCACCACCTAGGCAAATGAATTTTGATGAAAATCTACAAGGTTTTGATTCTGCTTGTCAGTTGGAAAGTAAAAATTTTTCAAAAGGAATAAATAGTACTAACTACAAAACGGAAGATATTTCTATTGTGAGTGAAATTCTGTCTCCAGTAAGAAATATTGAGATTACTAGCAACACTGATGGAAATGAATTTTCAATTGAAAAAAGTGATGAACATAGTGTGTTGTTAGATTTTTTGGAATCACCATGTAGGAGTCAGAACCTGGAAAATTTAGAGGCAGACAAACCAGATTTCTTGATTGAAGATACAGATGAAAGTTGTGAAAACAGCATTTTGATGAATATTATTGATTCAGGATCATCAGATTTGGGAATTTCAGAAAGAAATGAAAACATATCTGAAGAAGCCAGTATCATTTTTAGTATCATTGGTGATTATCCACCCAATAAGAGAAAGAAATAATGATGATTGATATATTGGACTTTTATAAACATTTTAAAATGGAGTTGCCATAATTTATTTTCGGCGGCAACCTCTGTCTAATTGTAAACTGTTATCAAATATGAAAATGTTGTAAATTGATAATTTCATATATTGATTTTCGGTATCTGTGATAATTTTTTAATTGAAAGGAAATATTGTTGAAATTTTATATTGTTTTATATTGGGACCAAATAAAAATATATTTAATAGCACCTTCAACTTTATTATCAACAAAACATAAAATATTTACAACAGAAGATTGATTAATATGTATATCACAAAATACTAAACAACTAACTAGTCAATAGGCATAACTAAGTTTGATATGGATATAACATTGAAAGCAAACATGTTCATTCAATTTTTCACATAATACTTTCTCATTAATGGGCAGTTTTTTTTTCAATAAAATTAATCATAATTTACAGGAATTTCAAGATTTGGCCTTATTCTATGAAAAATACGAGGAAAAATATTAGAAAAGTCTTAGTTTCAGTAGTCATAATATTTGTAGTTACACATGAACTTTTTTACAGGGTCCTAATATACAGGGAGTAACATAAGTACGTTAAATTATTCAAGTGACGTATTCCTGAAACAATTTCAAGAAAAAAAAGTCTATATAAATGGGTGTCTGGAAATGCTCTCAGAGATACAGGGCTAGTGATGTGAAGGGGGGAACGTTCCCTTCGTGCTGTGGGGAACGTTCGCGAATGTTCGCGCAACATAAATCGATCATGCGCGCATGATAGAGCGTGCTTTAGCACGAACGAGAATTGTCAGCACAAACGAGAATTGTCAGCACAAACGAGAATTTTCAGCACGATCCCGACCAATCAGCGCGCTCCATCCGCTTGTATCGCATGTGAATCCCCTTGTTTTGTTTTGGTGGTTCGTTGACAAGTGAAAGCACAGATGCACAGGTAAGTGCGTGAGAGCGAATTATTAGTGTTTTTTTTTTTTGTTTTTCAATATGCCCGGAAGAAAATGCGCGGCATTTGATTTCTGTCTTCATAAAAAACGTAATAGTAAAGACGTTTATTCTTGCAAATTTTGTTATTATGAATATAGCCGGCATGCCACAGGAATGGCAAATCATCTGATGAAATGTGTGAAATATCTCGAGTGGGTAAGGAATGAATTGATACTGAAAAACAATAAAATTGTTGTTCCTTTCAAAGATTCTCAAAAAGGAAACATCAAAATCAACAGAACTGATTGAACTTCAATGTTTGGAATCCTCCACTCCTTCAGCTGGTTTATATCTTGGTAATCAGGTTCAGGGTCCATCATCAAAAAATTCTGATGCGGATACCACAATGTTTCGAAGGGGATATTGAAGATTTGGAGTAGATGAAGTAGAGTAGGTTTATAGCTAGTTTATAGGTGAAACATATTACTCTTCAACCTAACATGGTATTTTCATTTCATTTTTATATCCATATTTTTCTACTTAATGAAGGTTTTTTATTGTTATAGTATTTTTTTATCGGTTGGAGCGCACGAAAGGGATTCCCTATTATGTTCAAAGAACATCGTGCGTTCCTAGGGAGGATAGGGACAGGAGGTAGGTATTGGAATTTTTTTTGAACTGTTGGAGATTATATGTTGTTGGGAATACTTCCACAGGCAATGAATTCCAGAGCCTAGCCGTTCTATGGATGAAGGAGTCTTGATAAAGTGCTGTTCCACATCTTTCCAGGTTGACAACGAAAGGATGTGTTGACTGGACTTGTCTAGTTCGTCTGATTGGTATTGCTAGTGAAGGGATGATAGTTAATCATTACTATTACTGTATTAGTTGTAACACAGAATATTGATACAGCGTGTCATTTTTGTATGGAGCATTAGGAGAATTTTAAGCATTTTCTGCATTTTCAGCAATTTGAGAATTTTGAGAATTTTCAGAAAGAACCACGAAAAGTATGTTTTTGGATACTTTACTACACCCCAAACATAAATTCCCGGGTTTTTTTCGTTTATGCTTGTTTATTCTCGTTCATGCTCGTTCGTGCTCGGGGAACGTTCTCCAAAAATACTTTCTGGAGAATTTTACATCACATTGAAATACAGGAAACAAATCTTTTTTTCATAGGAAAAAAGTTGTTTATTTTGATGAGACCTACTATATACTTGTTTTTGCAGTGTTCCCAGCAACTTCACTTAGCGCCCTTGGAGCGAAGTAACATGCATAGATATAACAAATTGTAAATTGATCGAAAATGATCACCCTACAGAGTTGTTGAGGAAGTGTACCTTTTTTTATCGTGTGTGTTCAATAGATATAATTCAATGTTCGTCGTGGCATATAGCCAGGAAAATAGTTGTTTTCTATTGAATCAACTGAGAAAGAGTAAATATTCTCATCACATAGAGAATGCGAACTCTCAATGTATTGCTTTATATAAATATATATCCATTTTTGTATGTTCATAATTCATCTGAGAATATTCCTTTTCAACACTTTCATACCCAATCAGGGGGTTCAAACTTGAACGATAAAGACTTGTGATTTTTATAGACCTCTTGCAGATTCGTGATAGAGTCTCAATTCAGAATTTCTTTCCACGCCCTGTATGATGAATGTCAATTTATCATACACCCAAAAGCAATGTACCTTTTTTACTTGAAAATGGTGTGGGAATAAGGTTTTTTCATGAAAAGTAGCAAACGTGTACTGTCAAAAATGTTAGGGCCATTTGAAATAAATGATGACAACTTACGCAGCGCCCTCTAGACATTACATGAAAATTAATAGGAAATTATTATTTACCCACGTCAAATTAAAACCCGGTACCAAATTTCGTGCAAATAACTTATATTTTGCAGCAGTTATTTTTAAAATGCGAAAAAAATTAAATTTCAACACCCTGATTCTCTGAAAGGAAGCATTTTGGGACACAAGTTTGTAAAGACTTTTTTAATACTTCACTTGAATATTTAAACGTACTTATTTTACACCCTGTATTATAGGGTTTATATCATTTTATGTTGTGCAATAGTCAAACATTATATAGCAGCTAAAGATACATGATCTAAATGAAAGTTTTGTTTTGTTCTCTATTATTTTCCAGGAAATACTTGTATACTTTCCTGTTGGAATTCAAAATGATTGAAATTTCAAGAAACATTCATTGGAATAGTTTTGTAGGAACAATAGAATATATTACACCTATTTGTACCTTGAGAGATCAGAAATACAGTTGAAAAACAGCTGTGGAACATTTTATAATGTATCTTATGATTTACTAAAATATATTCTTACTACTAGATCTTATCAACTAACATAGAAGGCCACTTTTTCATCAGCTATCTGAGTAACAATTATTGTGAGAATGAATTTTTGATGAAAAAAAAAATAGGTTTATTATTTCAATTCAAAATAGGAGCAGGAAAAAAGTCCGATTCATGAAATGACATGCACTGTAGAATGAATTACTAAACACTGATACTAGTGAACCTCAAAAATGTTCAAAAAAGTCAGTACTGGACCAAAGCATGAAATGTACTTGCATATCCTTTTACCATTTCCACTGAATTCATACCAATGGTGACTAGTAAGTACTCTTCACAAATTTAAGCACATCTCTAGACCATTCTAGACGAAACAAACCAAGCAAAATCAGGCACAATGTTGGGCCCCATTAGAAATAGTGGCCAATGTTGTGCCGCCAATTCAGCAGCAGCCCTACTGATATGGGGTCCTTGGATTCACGTTGATCATTTCGCTGGTACTGGAAAGAAAAGATGAACATTTTTTTTTCAATTATTATATTTGGAGAAGTCGCAAATACGATTTTTTCCCACAAACTCAAAGGTTTCATTAACTATTTGATAAATGTTCGGGGAATCGGGGATACTGTTCAAAAAATGGGAAATACATATTTTTTTATCAATTCATTTCACAAAATTATTTGATTCATTCCAATTGGCATTCTGAGCATTCTACATAGATCACAAAATCATGAAGCTAATCTTAGTAAAGCTAAGTTGATAAAAAACCATCAGAAACATCCCAATTTTAATAATAAAATATCTGCATTTTTATTGAAATGGGATTTGTTTTGATAGAAGATTCATACATATAGTACAATGGAATGAAGACTTGAAACAAATATGAGCATTAAAAAAATAAAACCATTGGAATTAATTAGTTCCTGTCATTAATATTTTTAAGGCAAGGTGAGTTACAACTATTGGGACATAGACTAACGGCGGATTGATTGAATTTGATTGATTGTCTTTATTACCCCAAGAAGAGAATAATAATAAAGGGTTAACTATAATGAATTCCACTCAGTGGAAACGAATTAATATTGTGTCTTATAAGATTAAAGTTATATTTCATTTGAATTTAAATGGAATTAATACATTATATAATTATTCTAAAAAAAAATTGTTCTAAAATTGTTGTTGTGAAGCAACTAGATTCAAAATTAACTTGAAAAAATATCTGCTTCAGAGACTTCGATAATACAATTTCTTATTTGAGTACCTACTTACAAAAGACAATGTTGATATTGCATGATTATTAGCATTGTTTTTTGTTCACTTGTTATATCTTATTATTATTTCATAATTGCATGTATAACATTATGTTTATTGTTTATGTATCCCTATTATAAACAACTATGTTTCTTAGGGTGATAAAGACAATCAATCATTATTCCCTGTATGAAATCATGCCACTGTGCCGATTTTGATAACAATTGATAAATATACAGTGAAATTATTAGCAAACAACGAAAAAAAAATCAACTTCAACGCCCTGTATCTTTTTCCACAGCGATATACAGGGTGTCCCATTGGGAAACGGAAAAACTTCAACAGTGGGTAGAGCTCATCAAGGTCGTTCTGAATATACCATATTTGTAGGGTCTCGCAAGTTTTATATCCAAGATATAGGGTGTTTTATCAATTTTGTTCAATTCTTTGTGAGGACATAACTTATGAACCACCCAGTATATTCATTTGGAATTTGGTACACAAATTCGCCTTTTTCTACCAAAGCGACTCACCTAGCAGGCACGAGAAAAATCCAGGAACGGTTCACCGAAAATTGATCATATATCTGGACCCCAAAAATATCATCCTGTATTTTCGAATTTCCAAAATCTGCTCACATATATGGAAAATGCATAAAAATCTGAATCGTATGATGTACTTTCCATTTTTCCGCATGCTATTTCACTAGGTAATTTCTGATTTTGAATATGAGGTTTCATGCATTTGGATAGGTAGAAATAATATGTTTTGAGTTTTCCCAATCGAATAATATTATCACGAACCACTATGTAAGCATATTATGGAAATTCGAAAATACAGGGTGTTCTTTTTGGGGCCCAGAAATATAATCAATTTTCGTTAATTCGGACCTGGATTTTTCTCGTGAATGATAGGTGAGGGGCTTGGGTAGATCAAGGAGAACTCGTGTACCAAATTCCAAAAAAATATTATTCGACTGGGAAAACTCAAACATATTATTTTTACCTAAACCTCGAATTCAAAATCAGAAATTCCTTACTGAAATTGCATGCGGGAAAATGAAAAGTACACCATTCGGTTCAGCTCTTTGTGCACTTTCCAAATATGTAAGCGGATTTTGAGAATTCGAAAATACAGGGTGTTCTTTTTGGTGTCCAGAAATATTATCAACTTTTGTTAATCCGGACCCGAATTTTTTTCGCGACTGATAGATGAGTCGCTTTGGTAGAAAAAGAAGGAATTGTGTACCAAATTGCAAAAGAATATGCTAAGTGGTTTGTAAGTTATGTCCTCACATAGAATTGGGCAAAATTGATAAAAACACCCTATATCTCGGATATAAAACTCGTGAGACCCTACAAATATGGTATATTCAGAGCCACCTTGATGAGCTCTACCCACCGTTGAAATTTTTCCGTTTCCCCTGTATTATTTATTTATATTTTTGTCCAAACAATACGCCCTCAGCCTACGTCCCGATAGTTATGATTCACCATGTGTTCATGTAACAATCAATAAATCAATCAATACTTATTCATCTGGAATTTGCCAAGTCATCAAATATCAGTTGTCCATGAATATTTTAATGTTTGTGAACTCATCTGGAACAGATATGATATCAGTAGATAGATAGATAATACCCTATTCATCATAATGTAGAGATCACAGGATCACACCTTCAGAAATTCATTTTTAACTAGCATTTCATTCATTGATTTAAAATAGAATCAAAATTGAACACCTTATCAACATCACTAGAACCAATATTTCATTTCAGATGCGTTTTTTTGCTTTTCCCTGTCAGGAACATTTGTATATTGTTTCTTATGAATAATATATGTTTTTGATTTTTGGAGAATATCCATGATTATCAGTTCCTTCTCAGTTCTACTCTATATTACTGTGGCAATTTGGGTCCATTTTTGTGTTAGAATATATCTTACAGTCTCCAAAACTTTACTTGACAACATTCATTGAATAAAATCGATACATTGATGTTCAAAAAATCTATAAATATCACTTATTATTCAGCCTATTGGAGAAAATGAATGAACTGAAAAATTTGAAAACTTTGTTGAGCTTTTTTTGTCATTGAATATTTTTTATCCATTAACTTATTACCTTTTGCCGCATTTGATGTGTATGAAAAGTAGGGCGATACCAAGCAGCAAGCAGACACACCCCACGACTATATATGCGATTCCCAGGAAGGGGTTCTTGCCCCCCAAAAGTGACGTCGTGCTGATGATCATGCGTTTTTTACCATCAAAGGCGCTCACATCATAATCTGAAAGAAAAATCATCTAAATATAGAACTTAATCAAATATTGGGGCAAAAATATACAGGGTGGAGACTTTCACTGGAATAAATCTGCGGATAAATGCGCTAGCGGGAATGTAAATATTTTGACTAAAAGTTCCCAACAAGTCAACGTTTCATTATATTTACCTTCAGTTTACAAGAAGTTTGAAGAATATAGCCCTTCAGGGGTATCTGAACCTACCCTCAATCTGTTTTTTATGCAACCCTATGGCTTGTGACCGTTTGTTGTTGTTTTTCAAGTCATACATTGTTGAATTTGTTTCCTGTATCATAACTATGATTAATATTAGCTGTTATTGCTGGAACATTTAATGTACAGGGTGAGTAAGTTCTTTGTAATAGGACTTAAACAGCTTAAAAACACGTATATTTAAGATGATATACAGTGTCAAAGTTTGAGATTTTTTGCTCTCCTACATGTTTTTCAGAAACTGTATGGCTTTAGAAGTAAATGCCATTTTTTTTAGTAATGAAACTTTATTTTCCGAACAAACTCTATTTGACATTTCTCAATGATGACTAGAAGATCTGGGATGATCAGAAGCTTTCATAAGGTGTGTTAAATGTCATAGTGTTTGTCAATCAGAATGGAAATATTTTCAGTCTGTATTATTTTTTATATCAGGCTGATGGATAACCAAATGATTTGCAAAATAATGTTTTCAAAATATATTTTTCATTGCATTAAAAACATGAAACATAATAATAATTAAATGTCTGAACTTTGGAAGGGTACTTCTAGAGTTTCCATGTTCAAAAATATGATAATACTTCAAATTCTAATAAATCAAGATATTCAATGGAATGGGCCTTTCCAGTCATTTCTATAAAAAAATAATTCTTGAAATATATGTCTCTGGAATACCTTAAAATTATTTTTTGCGATTTTTTCCATCAAGTTATCAATATAAAAAATTTTTATTAACTCCAAAATGAACAAGCGAATTCCAATGATCAGACATGGCCATGAAACGTGTGACGTCAGTGCGCGAGCAATTTGGATTGGTAATTCCCGACATTCTTGCGGCTGCCAATTAAATGCACGATGGACTTGACCATGTTGCCAATTTGGACAGAAAGCTGTGATTAGTCGGATATTCATTCCTGGAAGTTTTCATTTTAGCAGATGGTGTTAGATAACATTTTGTATTGAATTACAGTGCAGATATTCATGACATTCAGTTTCAAAACCCTTCCAGTGAAGAACTTTGAAGTTTTGGTACTCACCTATTATGTACCTACCTATATCTATCTACCATAGGGAAAAAACAAATTCTGAATCAATCAATACTAAATTGCTTACTTGGTTCTATTTCTATTGAACAAGCATCACTGCCTTCTTGTCAATAATATTGAGAAATAAGAACAGTGAAGTTATGCGGGAAATAAGATATCAACTTGGCAAATTGAGTTAGCGCCAGTTGCTTCATCTCTTTCTCTTGTAGACATAGTTGCCAGATTAGCAATTGAATTTTCCGGGAATGAATGCTTGAGATAAAGTAACACTGTTCAATTTGTTGACTATAACAATTAGTCAACGATGAAATTTCCTAAAACATAAAACCAAACTAAGTCTATAAAAAGCGTCATACTGTTAGATGCCTGAAATTTTATCATAGCTATCTTGAAACTATAATAGAATACTTTGGCGTTCAAAGTAAATTGAATGTGATCAGCAGTGAATCACCAATCAACTAATCACCTACTACATGGTAATTTCGAATCATTGCATTCCTTGCACCATCTTGCACATAGGATCAAGTCAAGGATTTTATAGAGATCTGGCAACAGAGGAGTGATTCCCAGCCATCAGAACTCCAACCAATCAAATTGCAAGAAGATACTGACATAACAGCTTACTAGCATTTGGATAAACAGGCCTTGAAATAGCATTTTCAATATTAAATAATTCATTTGCCATTCGATTTTCCCGATAAATATGTGGTCAGGATAACGATTTCTTTGTTAGTATTTTGGATATATTTTCAAGAAAACACAGAAGAACATAACCATCATAAATGTATGAAACAAATACTCACTGTATTCAACCTTGAGGGTGTAACTCCCCTTCCTCAACCCGTTCAAGAACCCCGGCTCCGAATGGTTCACCCGCCTGTACAGCTTCCTGAACGTTGGAAACGCCGCCGTTCGCATCCACACTATAAAGTCCTCGTTCTGGAAACCGTTGTTGTCCGGATTAGCCGGATCCAAGTCCCACACGTCCCTTTTCCAGGCTTTTGGACGAGCGTAAACGCCCTCGAATGCCTTTCGGAGGTCCCCCTGGGGGTTGCGGAACTTTATTTTCTTGTCCGATTCCCATGCTATGCCGGTGTTGAGCAAGGGGACTTCTTCTATTTTGCCCGAGTTGTTCATGAACAAGGTCAAGTTGTCTGAAAATTCAGATTTTTTATATTTTTTTATTTGGTAATAACAAATGAATTGAAGATGAGTGGATTCCACGAGCTTCCTAAAATTCTTTGAAAAATTCGTATCCGTAAAAGATGAGTGTTTGATAATAGATATTTGTGCATACCAGTATGTTGTGTTATCATAGTAACATGATGATGATAATTAATACTTGTTAGACAGTTGTCAGAATAGATGAAATAAATAAAATAGTCAAAGCTGATTTAGATATTGATCTCAAACAATGAGAAAGCATTATTTCAAGACGGAGCGATTTCAATTGGCCGCCGCGTTACCCGGATTTAATCACTCCCGATTTCTTCCTTTGGGGATATTTAAAGGAACGTGTACACGTGAATATACCAGATACCATACTCCAACTAAAGAATAATATTCGAGAAGAAATTCGAGCAATAACACCTGAAATATTGCGTAAAGTCATGGAGAGAGTCTTGGGAAGAGCGCGACTTTGCGAAGCTGAAAATGGACACCACTGACGTTATTTTCCACGTTTAAATCAAACAACTTCCCCATCAATGTAGTGTTCAAAAAATAATTAATTCAATAGATACTGAAATAAATAAGTTATTTACTATTCAAACCCCTTCGTTTCTTTTGCGCCACCCTGTATATATAAAATGCTCCTCCGAAACGGCTTTGCCGATTCTTATGAAAATTTTTGTGCATATTCGGTAGGTCTGAGAATCGGTCGTAAACTGTTTTTCAAATTGAAAATTCAAGGTGGCGGACGAGTTTTGTAAACCGATTTCATTCAAAATTGGTGTTTGGAGGTTTTCAGGGTCGAAGATTATGAATTTTCTGCAAAACTTAGAAATTCAAGATGACGGATCCAATATGGCGGACGAGTTTTGTAATTATGGTCCGATTCTATTCAAAATTGGTATCTGGGGGTTTTCGGGGTCGGAGATGATGATTCCTTCGTCAAAACTAGGAAATTCAAAATGGCGGACGAGTTTTGTTATTATGGTCCGATTCCATTCAAAATTTGTATTTGGGGGGGTTTTGGAGTTGGAGATTATGATTATTTCGTCAAAATTTGGTAATTCAAGATGGCAGATCCAATATGTCGGGCGAGTTTTGTAATTATGGTCCGATTCTGTTCAAAATTGGTATCTGGGGGTTTTCGGGGTCGGAGATGATTCCTTCGTCAAAACTAGGAAATTCAAAATGACGGACGAGTTTTGTTATTATGGTCCGATTCCATTCAAAATTTGTATTTGGGGGGGTTTTGGAGTCGGAGATTATGATTATTTCGTCAAAATTTGGTAATTCAAGTTGGCAGATCCAATATGTCGGGCGAGTTTTGTGATTATGATCCGTTTATATTCAAAATTGGGATCTGGGGGTTTTCAGGGTCGTAGATTAATAATGATTGGGAAATTCAAGATGGCGGTTCCAATATGGCGAAAGAGCTTTGTAATAAATGGTAGGTTGAAAAACTATAATGAAACAAAAAACAAAATAATAGAAGTATGTTGATAAATATTTAACTAAAAAAATATTTTCTGAAATTAAATGTATATAGCAAAACAACGTTTACCGGGTATCAGCTATTGTAATAAATAGTAGTTTGAAAAACTAATGAAACACGTTTTTATGGATAGTTAAACTAAAAAGAAGTGAGTAGAAAATAAAGAGTACTTTGAAATAATTAAGAGATACAGAGTACCGAACTAAAAAATAAATAGAATAGTTTGCCAGGTCAGCTATTATATTGTATATAAAAGATTGAATTCGTCAAGAACTAATGAAAAAACAATTATTAAATTTCATCATTCAAATACACTTCTCCAAGAAACTAACACACCACCAAAAAACAGCCAAAAGTTTAGAAAACATTTCCGTCAAAACTACTGATTTGGACGATTTTTATTTTGAATGAAAGGTTATTTCCTTCTGAACATTGGTGTGTAAACTAATAGCCTTTTTTATACATACCTGGTGCAGCAATTATAGGGAGTTTTCTTCATGAAATTTGTAATACCCTGTACATTATCAAGTTAGAATTGAAATCAAACTTTAGCTTAATTTTTTTTTCAACAATTTTTGACCTTATTTCTTCAGTTATCCAATTTTTACAGCTAGCCTATATTTTTCCTTTTTTTTTTCATGTACTTGATACATTTTTGGAAAGCTTTATTGATGGCTTCATCATGACAAATGACCCATATCTGGCTACTTTGTGGTTTCAATGACTGAGAAATTTCAACTGTTTCAATGAGACTGTGACTTCATTAATGATTTTTAGGTCTCACAGCAATCAGAACTTTATTCAATATGATGAAATTGAATCTATTAATGAGGTTCAAGAATGAAACATTTGAAAAATCAGTCCACATGGAGTTCCAAGAAAGTTCAAGATGTCTTGTTCCAGATTACATCTTGCAAATATTAAAGACTCAAATTCTCTTCTGTTAGTTTGAGATGATATTATATGTATATAAACAGTCACCAATAATAATTCTTGGAATCTATGAATAATAATAATTCTTTGAATATATATGTATATCATATGAAATAATACTATCAAAAAAGTGCACTCAGAAGATTTCCATGAATATTCCAAAAATATAATGAATTAATCAGGTACAGCCCAGCTTTCATCAGATCAAGTTAGAATTCATAAAAAAGCAATACCTACTAGATTTCAAACAAATTCCAAGATTCCAAAAATGTTTGAATACTTCCAAGAAATTTAAAGAAATGTCACTTATTATTAAAAAACATTCAAAGAATTGGAATGAATTGACCAGGGTCACTTTTTGCACTAAGTTCTATGTTTAGAAAAACTGTAAGTAACATGTTAATTCAAAACAAACAATTAAATAGGTCATGTTTAATGTACACTGACTTACCATTGAACATTGAGTTGGCAATAGCCCCACATGGAGCTATAGGCTGCTTAGAATTATTGCTCTCATTACTATAGGCAAAAGGAACACAATCCCCAGAAACAACATCACTCAGAATCCCCAGTAGCTGGTTATCATCTCTGGATTTCACATACCTCCTATGGTTCTGATAGTAATTGCTCAAACCATAGTACATATAAACTTTACCCTACAAAGAAATAACCACAAATTTTGCACTGAATCCTAATTCGAATGTATCTTACCTCAAAATCTTTAGTGAGATTGAAATTGATCCTGCAGATACACTTCTGATTGGGATCAGTCTGTATTTGACTCTTACAGGTCTCCTTTTCAACTTCTTCCCAAGCAGATGCATACCCAACAGTCTTCTTGCAATCTGTGTAGTCAATCACAAGCTCCTTAACTTCATCTGAGAAATAAAGCAGGCCTATTCCAACAGGTATGAATGCTATACCTATTATGAAAAAGGCAGGTAGCACTGTTCCTGCAGTTAGAATTGGCTGCCATGCTGGCAACCGCTGTTGTTTGAATGCACTATCTGTAACAAATTAGATTATGTTATATGTGTGTAGCAAATATACTTAGGATATATTACATAAAGGAGCCATCAGGTTTTATAGATAATATTATAAATTATGAAGTATCTCCCATACCTCATTGTGATATATTGATTGAAGGCAAGTGAGTTGTAGTTGTGGTTATATTTGAACTGGTAAATATTTTATTTGACCCAGTTACCCCCATGTTTCATGAAGTTTCTTGGAAACCATTAATAAATAATCAACACTTTTTGTACTTGCGATCGATAATGGGGTGTAGGAAAAGGGGATAGGCCCAAGTATAGAGATTTTTCATTACTCACCCGATGGTTTTTTTGTTTTGGAGGGTTCTGCACTGTCCTGGGGGGGCATTTTAGCCGAGAGTTTTCGAAAGAGGAAGGAATAAGTGATAATTTATATGGTCTTTTCAACTATACATTGCACATTTCCGAACGCGCAGAATGCAATGGCAATAACACAATTCGCAAAATTGTAAATCAGAATCAGAGAAAATGTAAAATATAGTGTGACAAATTGACGTCATTCTCCAATCGACCAAATGTCACAAACATGTCACTTGTCACAGTGATGTCATCTAAATAAAATGTCAACTTATGAATGTCAATTCAACAAGGCCATTTTGAGCAATGTCCAAACCTCGGTCCAAGCACTACCAGATTTTGTGTTGTGGGTTAGGTCAGGTGACGTCATTCAAAATTTAAAGAGTGAATTACTACCACACATTGAAATCCCATTCGCATCAATTTCACATTAGAAAAAAATAAAATGCAGAATAATAGTATAGTCTTTTTCCTCAGACTATTAAGATATAATCAGTTCTTCCACTTTCTTGTGTCAATTCCCAGATTTTTCTGAAATCTTCATAAAAGACAACAAAAGGTCCTGAACATTTTCTCCCATGAAATTTTAGAATTGTAATGAACGCGAAGACTCGACCAAAAATATCATAACGAATACTAATGCTAGACACTTTACACTTATAGGAAGTAGAAGGTCGTTTTAATTAGGTCAATAAATATTTAGGTATCTGAACTCGAATGCATTCAATAAGTATTAGAAGGATAGATTGATAGAGCAATATTATTACGTGAATTAACTCTTGTTGGAAATATGAATATTTGTTTCAAATCCCAAGAAATGCATATATGTAATAGGTTTATTATTAGGTACTTTACCTTTGTAACATTGTTGATAGTGGCACTTGAAGAACAGGAACAGCAAAAAGATGTGAATAAAAGTTAGAAAAGAGTGTACAGGGAATTTATAACCTAAGTAACTGAGCCACAGCAGAGGGGCGGGCCAAAGATAGGTAGAGGCCAGATGAATTATTACAAAAATCAATTAGTTTAAGATCTTTTCAGATGAACATTGAAATCCTTTTTCTGTACTTAATTTTAAGTAATACCCAAGGTCAACTAACATCGATTTTTGCAAAATGATTAATGATAAAATTCCATTAAATTAAAAACTATTTCTGAAAACATCCGAAGCCACTCTTTTTGCACTTTAATTCGAGGTCAATTCAACTAAGCGAAAATCTAATGAATTCTGATTAAATTTATGACCAAATCTCAGTATAAAAGCAGGGAATTTTGGCATAAAAGTCAGTCTTGATCGAACTCTTGATACGAAGTCTCAAGTCTTGATCGAACTCTTGATACGAAGTCTCATGTCTTGAACCAGTAACTCTGCTAAACAGTCTAGTTATACGTGATATGTAGTTGATATTAGAAATTGCTTAAAAGTCTGTACCTAGTGAACATATTGTGTTGCTGCAATAGATGTGTATCGAGAATTATTGAACTTTTATAAAACTGTATTAACTTTTCAAAGTGACCTGGTATAATAGTGCGAGTGTACATCATCCTGTCATCATGTATAACCAACCAATATTATGTAAGCACATCTGTTTTACTTCCATGTCAACTCTGCCTGTCCATATTATGATGATTGCTGAATAGAGATTTATGTATTTTGAACTGCCGTATTAATGTCTATATACACCAATCTTACTCCTGCCTAAGTATTCACGAACCCAGTAAATCAGTAACTTTGTGAAGACCCCTGTATAGGCCAACCCAAGAAAAGGGGTGCTTTACAATTGGTGTCAGTGGTGTGGGGTTCGAATATTTAGAAGCTGTTAAACCCCCTCAGCGGCAGGAAAGAGAAGTGTAGACATTCTACCATCAACGGCAGAAGAACTACTCGTAGACACAAACTTTGAAAGATGTCACGAACCGGATCACCAACAGGAGACGACAACAATGACGACGACCAGAAAAATATAATTGTTTCCATGCCCATGAACTTAGATGCAATACCAGAGTATAATGGACAGACAAGTATTCATGACTTTCTTCAAATTATCGAAGAAACGGCAATATTGGCAGGGTGGACAGAAAAACAACAAACAGCGATAACTCGATTGAAATTAAGAGGAATAGCCAAGCAGTTGATAGACTCAGAACCAGATCTGCGAGCTACATCATGGGAGGTTCTAGAAGAGGCCTTACGTAAGCAGTTTGGCGTAGTTCAACTTCCTGGACAAGCACTGAAGGCGTTTATTGAGTGCAAACAACGAAATGGTGAGTCTTGCAGGCAATTTTTAGCCCGATTGAAAATTGCTGCTAACAAGACTGTAAAATACACCGCTAGACCAGATGACAACCGTCTGATAAAACAGAAATTAGCAGCGGATACAACCACACAATTTGTTCTCGGCCTACTCAACCCGATACGGAAGAAAGTATTGTCCGCAGAGCCCGCCACCCTAGAAGAAGCGGTGAGAGTTGCAGAAAAAGAAGAGACGATAGAAAATCTCACCAAAATACAGGAACGAGAATGCAGGGTGGTGGACTCACGCGAAATAAATCAACAGAATGCAAGGTCAAGAAACACTCTTAACTGCTACAGATGTCAGAAAATGGGACATTTTGCCAGAGATTGCAAGGAACGAATCAACAGCAATAACCGAAACCGGGTGTGTTATGGATGTCAAAGACCTGGACACATAGTGAGGTTTTGTCCAGACAGAAGCCAACAACGAGGTCAAGGTCATCCAACTGGGACCTGGCGAACTGCAGGTAGAGGAGGACGTTCCACCGGTAATTTAAACACGACCGCAGCTGCATTTCAACCCCGCCATGTAGCTGCCAGCGAGGTGCCTCGACAATAAAGTCAAGGACGGCAGAGATACTAAGTTGCACGCAAGGAAAGGAGGAACCCAGGAACATAGCAAAAATTAAAGTAGAAGGTCAGTACTTGACAGCTTTAATTGATTCAGGTGCACAAGTATCTCTAGTTAAGCCGAGTATCGTGCAGGGGTTCAATATTCAAGTTAACAACGATATTAGTCTAGTTGATATTCAGGGAAGGAAAATCAATGATAATGGAAAGGTTATTTTACCGATACAGTTGAGTTCAAGAAAGACCATTGAACATGAGTTCATCCTGATAGAGACAGGGAATTTCAGAGCAGATATGCTGCTGGGATTAGACTTTTTACAAAGATTCGGAGCAAAAATCGATTGGGGAACAGGGAAAATGTTCATTCTAGATGAAGTTATTGAGTTATTAGAAGAAAATAACGATTGGGAAAGAGAGATAAAAGTGAGGTTGGCTGAAATGGAAAATAATATAATTGAAATCAAGAATACCTTGAAAGCCTTTACTTCAACCGTACTCAAGGAGGATATGAATTCGATGCCACTGGAATTGGCAGCGAATTCCGGTGAACAGGGGAATTCCAGTCCTCTGGTTCACCAAACAGCAATATCCATCCCGGATACTCCAAGGTATGAAGAGAAGTCAAAGGAAAGGAAGACTGCTTCCAAAGGGTCCTTAAATGATAGCAGAACACAGTTTCGTAGTGGAGAGCCAATCGATAGTCGAGAAAATAGCCTCAGGACTGCACCTGTTTCGCAGATACAAGAGGATAGGGCACAAAGATGCACCTCTAAGTCTGGAAACACAGGCAGTGGAAGTCAAAGAAGAAGCGAGTACTTAACAGAAGAAGTCTCTGAATTAAAACGGATGAATAAATCAGGAAATGACTGTACAAAAGTTGAACATCAAAGTAAGATAACTGATTCCAGTCTCCCACAGTCAGTAGTGCCAGGGACACAAAATGAGAAAGTACATGGATGCACATCCAAGCCTATGAATTACCACAGTAACGGAGTGGGAGTATATTTCAAAGAAGATGTTCACTTACCACCAAGGACAATGACCATACAACCAGCACTACTCAAGAAGCCGAAACGACTTACCACCGATTCTATCGTAATTGAATCTATGGACTCGATCAACGGAATATTGGTAGCCCGATCCATTTGTCACAAGAACCAAGAAATACCTGTAAAACTGATTAACGTTCTCAATTGTGCTGTAGTGATTCAGCGAAAACAAATAATAGCCAGAGCATTTGAAACAGAATGTGAAGTCCCAAGTAAACAGGAAAAAAGAAGAAAAACAATTGGCTCTGTGAGCATGCAAGATACTAAACTTATTCTTGAGCAGCTTCAGCTATCTAATCCACAAGGAGAAGGAGAAGAAGAACTTGTAAAATTGATCACGGAATATATCGACATATTCAGAGCTCCAACACACAAATTGACTTGTACTTCTCGAGTAAAACATCGAATTATAACAGAAAATGTACCACCTATCTCAAAAAGACCTTACCGAGTACCCTACCAACGTCAGAAAATACTGGACAAAGAAATTCAAGATCTTCTAGAAAATGAAATCATACGTGAATCTTCATCACCATGGTCATTTCCAGCAATATTGGTAGAGAAGAAATTGCACCCTGGAGAAGAACCCCAATTTCGTCTATGTATCGACTATAGAGATCTTAATGCAATCACTAAAACAGATTTCTTTCCCTTACCAAATCTCCAAGAAACCTTAGATCAATTGACTGGCTCCAGTATTTTCAGTGTGTTAGATTTGGCTAGTGGATATTTCCAAGTAGAACTCGACCCACGAGATCAGGAGAAAAGTGCATTTACCACCCCTACTGGCCATTATGAATTCAATCGCATGGCTATGGGCTTAAAGAATAGTCCAGCAACTTGGCAAAGACTGATGTATTCGGTTCTAGCCCATTTAACTGGAAACGAATGTCTTGTCTACTTGGATGACGTAATAGTGTTCAGCTCATCTGACCTAAATGAACACCTCAACAGACTGAGACATGTATTTGATAGAATGAGAGCCAGTAATTTGAAATTCAAACCAACCAAATGCCAATTTATGAAGAATGAAGCCAAGTATCTGAGACACATCATATCAGCAGCTGGATGTCAGACAGACCCCGAAAAAACAGAGATAGTCCGTAATTACCCTCG